TCCCAAAAAACATCAAGCCTGAAGATTTTTCAAATTCTAAAACTAAATTATTTTCTGTTGACAGTATTACATTCATACATGAGTAGGAAAAAATTAGCTAAAATATCAGGCTGAGTTAATGACATTTTTTGTAATATTGAAATGTCAGTCTTTTCAGTGCAGCAAAATTAAAGATTTAAACCACTTCTTAATATTGTGCTGGAATTTTGGTTTAATTTGTTTGAGCTTGGTAATCTTTCTTATTAGCAAATGTACGTTTTGAACTTTTCCATTTTCTTCTTTGGTGGGGGTCTTACCTCCCTTGTTTTTACTTATATCTAAGTTTCTACCTTTCCTTTTTCTATTCTAGGAATTTCTTTCTATGAGTTTCTGCTAAAGTTATACCATTACTACTTACCCTTACCTATACTCTTAGGCCAGTGATTTTCAAATTTTAAGCTGTGATACCTAGAACTAGCTAGATATTAATGAAATCCTTTTCAAAGCACAGAAATATCCTCATCTTAGTCAGGGGAGGGATTGGTGTTGAGGCTGGTGAAAAAGGGGGGAGTGGAGGTGTTTGAGTTCACTGGCCTGTGAGACAAAGAGATGAAACAATAGTTTATGAGCCTCTTGATACTATTATAGTATTGTATTATCAAATAGAAAGCAGACTTAGAAGTCTTATTTTTGCTTCTTTTAGTGCTCTTTTGGGATTAGGAGATTTAAAGTTGAATAATAACACAGCTGGGGGTGGTTCTTAAATACAAATGTACACGCAAAGTGTGTGCATAAAGCTAATTACTAAAGCAAAGACCAGATGATTCACTTGAAACTGGCTGATACAGCCATCTTCAGTGACTTAGAAATTGCCCGGGCTTTTTGTTAATTCGAAAACCTTGCTTCCAACTATCAAGGTTGAAGCCAGCAGTGGAGAGTGAAGAATGTCAGCAGTGAGGGCATCATCAAGAGCAGAGAAAGGGGAGACAGCGGCCAGGAATGGGCAGGAGGAGTGAGTCCAAGAGGTAGGAATGAAAACATAAAGGAATAGAAAAAGAGAAGGGGGTGAAAACAACGGCAGAGAGAAAGGAAGAAAGGAATGTGGGTATAACGGTTAATGTCAAATATCATATCTCAGTGTTTTAATCTGCTTAGTTCAAAACTAAGAACCTTTAAAGAATTGAGTTTAACTGTGGAAGGAAGAGGTGAACAAGAAAGAAGAAAATTTTTATAGTGTGTTAAATCGCATTTAAAATTTAAGCTCAACAGAAACAATACACAATTGTTTAAATGACATTTGAGTCATATTACTATAGGGCGCTATTCTAAGTGCTGTACATATCTTTATCCACTTAATCCTTACCACAAGTTTACAGCAGATACTGTTTCTCCCATTTTACAGATGCAGAAACTGAACCACAAAGAGAATAAGTAATTTGCCTAGGCTAGTCAGATTCTTCTGAGGCAGTCTGACTACTGTGCTGCAGCTGGCTTCATCACCTCTTCCTCCCCCTACATGATTTGTATGGTATATTGTTTTGAGAATATAATACCTCCTTGAACTAGTTGTACATTTGCTAGTGTAACAAACTCTGGACTATTTAAAAATAAATTTTTCTTCTCTTTAGTTATAATAATAGGAGAAAGTTTATCAAACTAGGGACCAGAACACAGATGGATAATGCATGGTCCCTGCCCCCAGTGAACTGAATTTCAGTAATTGGTCCTTGAACCAGCCTATATATACTCCAGCATTGGTGTGAATTCTTTGAGCCACAGACAAACTAATACTGACAATATTTAAAACATTTGACATTCTTATCCTTTTAATAAGCCACACAACAGAATCAACTTTCCATATAAAAAGCAGTAGTGCCTAGTTTGATTACCTTTCTTAATCACCCTTAAAATTAAAGTCTCACTTGGATATTTACAAAGTATTTATCTAAAAAGGTGTTTTGTTTTGTTTTTACAGCCATGATGGAGTAAAATGTTTGCAGGCTGGTAGAAAAGGAAATGTGAATGGAGTTAGTGGATTTCACCAGGAACTTTGGAAGAGTGTTGGGTATTAGTTGTACTGGAGGAGAATGAGAATTGAGCCCTATTTAGAGGGAACAGAAAGACTTCTGTGAGGAGTGTGGATAAATACACAGGAATCTACCCTAATGATCATTGCTTAGCTCACTAAATACTTAAATTTTTTTTATTTTATAATATATTTTATTGATTTTGTACAGAGAGGAAGAGAGAGAGATAGTTAGAAACATCAATGAGAGAGAGTCATCGATCAGCTGCCTCTTGCACACCCCCTACTGGGGATATGCCCGCAACCAAGGTACATGCCCTTGACCGTAATCGAACCCAGGACCCTTCAGTCCCCAAGCCGACGCTCTATCCATTGAGCCAAACCGGTCTCGGCTAAATACTTAATTTTTAAAATAACTTCTAGAATTTCAGAATCATTCACTAGAACAATACTTTGTTACATTGAGACTCTTCTAAGGAGACAACTGTGTGGAAAGTACCTCTTCATATTGAGGCTTTCAAAAAGTCTGAAGAGGATGGACCTGTAACTGGGTAAAATCCTAAAGATTTTACTAAGAAAAACTCATTAGAGACTTCTAAAAGTGCCTTTAGGCAAGTAAGAGAAATTCTGGATCATCTGGCAGTTGGGAAGGAATTTAAATATTAAGTTTAGTCTAATTTGACTTTTGCCTTGTTCCTCTATTCTTCACTCCTTGATAAATAGTTATAGCATTTGCAAGCTGCTTAGCCATTCCCCTTTTAGATGTGAATAAGATAATAAATGAGAAGTTATTCAAAACTGAGTGTCTTTATTTTATTGGGTATTTCTTGCATTTCTTAACTTGGTATTGGTTCTTAGATTTTTATCGTGGCATTTGGAATACTTTGAATTATATATTGGTGCCTTTATGTTTATAGATTATCCACATGTCATTCATTCAAACATATTGAACAGCAGCTGCACAGTGCTAGATAATGGGAACATGAATGAATAAGTCAATCTCTGTGTACAAGCTGCTTCTAGACTGGAGGACAGAAAGATTAATAAACCAGAAGTTAGAATACTGTATAAGTATAATGATAGAGGTATGCATAATTTTTCTTTGAATAAAGAAGGGTACTTCTCTCTGACTCAGAAGTTTTACTTTGGAAGGAGATGATCTTTTGAGTTAAGCCTCTAAAATAGAAAAGGAGTTAATCAAAATAGGTAGCAGTGATAGGAAATTTTAAGTATGGGGAAAAGTACCAGATAGGAATAATTGTCCAATCTCAGTTGTTTTATACTTTTCACATCTCAGAAATACCACCACCACCACCATCCTTGCTCCCTCACCCTGTGTGACTGCTATTTAACTGGCATTTTAAGAATATTAGCTGGGTTTGATATTGCTTAATTAAATTTGTTGTAAGAATAGTAATAGTGTATTCTAAATTTATGAAAACTAAGAATACATTGCTTTTTTTTTTTAGCATTCTCAATTAAAAATATATTTTGTTACAATTTTAATTTTAAAAGATGAAATTAATTTGAAAGTTCAAATTAAAATTATTCAGTCCAAATGTAACATTATTTCTGGTTAAAGCCAAACTTATTTAATTTTAGTTCTGTTTTAAAGATTTATATATCAGGAAGAAAACTTCTAGTCATTTTTACTCATTCATCTGCAAATGCATTTGGAATAGAGAAGGTTCCTTTCAAAAACAAAATCTAGCAATTAGATTTCATGTCAGTGAAAATAAAGGCTCCATCTTCCCTGTATCAGAAATTTTCTCCTTTTGTTACCTACCCAAATCACATAGCATTGATTTATACCCTTCTCTCTTTCCCTCCCTCTTCTGACATTGTTTCTTTATAGTGATTGAATCCCAAGATACAGTGAGACTCAAGATGTTTATCTCTTGAAAAATAATGTATCTGAATCTTGACATTTAGACATCATATTTCCATGAGATATTTCCTTTTTCAATTAAATTTATGGGGTAGTATTGTTAATAACTTTATGTAAATTTCAGGTATACAACATTATAATGTTTCCCCGAAAATAAGATCGTATGGAAAGATAAGACATCCCCTGAAAATAAGACCTAGCGCAACTTTGGGAGAAAAAATTAATATAAGACACTGTCTTATTTTCGGGGAAACAGGGTATAACATCTGTATACTCCATTGTGTGCTCGCCACCCAAAGTCTTGTCTCCTTCCATCACCATGAAATATTTATCTGTAATCTTAGAACGTTATTTGAGTTTAAAGCATGCCCATTTTCTGAGTCAGCAGTTACTTTGTTTATTAGTAAGTTCAGGGATAAATGTTTGTTAAAAATTAGTGTTCTCTGTCTTAGTGCTATGTTCTTATACTTTAATCCAAAGAACATAACTTAGTAATGCTTTAAAAATTGCTAATTTCTAGATCTTCAATTGGCAATGTTTCTACTCTATTAGTTTGTCATACATGTTTATTTCCAAGAAACTTTTAATGATGTTAGTAAACTACTAGAGATATTAGATAGCAGTTTCATGTGCAGAATCTTCAATTTGCCATGTAGATCCTTTTCCTATCTCTTAAGCAAGATTGTGTAGCTTTTAGCTACACAATGAGTCATTGATTAAGAAAACCCTAGAAAGTGGTGGCTGTCCTAAAAGTAGGTATACTTTACCCAGTTTTTTTTTTTTAATCTTTTTTCATTCCTTGTCTTAAGGTGTTTTTTTTTCCTTCACAATATGCATTAATATTATTTAAACTTTCTCTTAGTTTAATAAAGTATAAGTCTTTTTCCTTTAGTATTCTACTTGCAAAACAAGTAAAACAGATTTTACAATTGGGGTCACTAGTTCTATTTATTGAATAACTTTTATTAAAATTTTCATCAGTCTTTTCATAGCCCAACTAGCAATTCATAATTTCAGTGTTACATTCCTTTCTTGCACACCTATCCCCTTTAGAAAGTTTTCTCCAAAATTTGTTTTTAAATCACCAACTTTCTTTCGTTGCTGCAGATAATATCACCTACTGCATTATTTTTGGCTGCAAAAGTGGAAGAACAGGCTCGAAAACTTGAACATGTTATCAAAGTAGCACATGCTTGTCTTCATCCCCTAGAGCCACTGCTGGATACTAAGTGTGATGTATGTAAAAATTGGGTTTTTGTTTTTTGGGTTTTTTTTTTTTTTTATTTCTTTGTAAATTTGAAACCTTTTCATTATTTATACATGATAAAAATACATCTTAATTAGTGTTACCTTCCAAATGCTGGTTATTCCTATTACTACTTAGGAATGTAAAGGCAGGAAGCAATCAGGCGGAGACTTATTTCATGTATGTTCATGAATTATAATATAATTCTGAATTATGTAAGGTGGAGATCTTTTTTACAGAATTGTTTCTTTATTTAATGCATATATATCACTACTTATCTCTTTGATACATAAAAGTACATTTCACCATGCTTTCATGAGCAGCAAGCACTTTTTAAAAATATTTTAATTTTCCTAAAGAGTAATGCTAGTTTCCAAACAACTTTTCATCATCAGTAATTTGATACATCTCGTTTGAAAGCACCATTTTAAAATGATCTGTTATAGCAAGAAAGAATTCTGGGCCTTTAAAATCATTTTCCTAGCACTCTTATTATAGTCGAGTTCTTTATCAGGAACTTTTAAGTACTAAATGACTACCAGATTATATTAATTCAGTTTGATTTGGATCAAGTTTAAATTCCAATTAACTATATCTGATTTTATTAATCTAGATGATGTTATCCTAGATGTAGTTAAGGAAGTAGAATATTAATATAGCCATTCAACAATAGAGAATTTATAATTATTCAAAAATAACTACTTAAAATTAGTAGTGTCTACTAATTTTACAAATTCAGAATTATTTCTTGTGGTTACTTAGGATATTGTTCAAATAACTGAAATGTACAATTTAAAAAACAGTTCAGTGACTTTTTCAAAACAGGACAAAAATAAAATTAAAGGTACTTTCACTCTGGGTTTAGCAGTATGTCCTTATATAAATGAATACTTATATGTGACATATTGTTTCCTTATTAACAATGTTTCTAGTAGTTATGTCATGATCAAAAAATGAGATTATGGAAAATTTTTCATACCATTTATTTTTAGAGTAATTGCAATAGATGATTTTTGTTTGTTTGTTTATTTTGTTAATTCTACCCAAAGATTTTTTTTCCCATTGATTTTTTAGAGAGTGGAAAGGAGGAGGTGGGGGGGGGGCGAGAGAAACATTGATGTGAGAGAGACACATCAATTGGTTGCCTCTCACATGACCCTGATATATGTGCTTTTGACCAAAATCAGACTCACAAACCCTTCAGTCCAGGAGCTAACACTCTAACACTAAGCACAACCAGCTAGGGGGTGAATACTTTATTGAGGTTGGGTGTATGATACATTATTTTGGTATTTTATATCTAAACTTTTTATCTGGAGATTATACAGCTTTTTAAAAATTTTTATTTTGCCTTTTTTGAAGAGGAAGTTAATTCTAAAAGTAATCTGTTACTGTCAAGAAATTATCACATGAAGGTGTCCTAGATTAAGTTGATAAAAACTTTTCTTTAAGTTGGGTTTGAATTTGGTGTTCTTATGTAGGTTGGTGCTTCCTATCTTAATATGTCTTGAAGCACTCAAATACCTAGGTAAAGTTTTATATTATAGACTAGAGATCTCTTTTGTTCCAGTTGGCCCTCCCCCCTTTCATATTATCATCATCATTTTTGGGGTTTTGCTTTATTTACAGAAGTAATTCAATTTAGACTTGTCACAGAATATAAGCTCTCTATTTCCTTTGATTTCATTCCTTCATGTTTATAAACTACTCTAGTTCTGTTGTAATCAACCTGTACTTCTCATGAGATTTAATGGTCCCATAGTCTAGAAATGTTTATCTTAAGTATTTTGATATTACTCTTTTTACCTCGCAGGCTTACCTTCAACAAACTCAAGAACTGGTTTTACTAGAAACCATAATGCTACAAACCCTAGGTATGTACTTACATCAAATATTTTTATGTATGTTCAATGCAATACAATAGGTCTTTACTTAATGTCATCAATTGGTATTTTTAACTAAGTGAAACAACATATAACAAAACCAGTTTACTATGGGCTAATTGAAACAAACAAAAGAGTTAAGTTCCTATAGTGTAACAAATGATGTTGATTGAAAGAACATTATTCAAGGGCCTACTGTATGTATACTAAATAAAGGAAAAAAGTCTGGAGTGATTTTATCTTTGATGAAAGTTTCATTTTTAAAACAAAGTTTGGGGCCAGAATATTATTGCCTGGTTATAAGAAAATCATTTTTTAAAATTTTCATTTCATTTCACATAAACAATCTTTGGTGAGATTTTAATGTATTCAGATAATTGGGATACTGTGCTTCGTTCTGGCTTTGCATTGGAGAATGAAATACTCCTCTCAAACTGTTGCATATGATTGTAATGTGTACTACATACATACATGGCACTTCTTGTTCTCCAAAGCTTATAGTCAGTATTTAATGAATATATATCTTTTTTTAAAAAAATATATTTTATTGATTTTGTACAGAGAGGAAGGGAGAGAGATAGAGAGCTAAAAACATCGATGAGAGAGAGTCACACCCTCTTGCACACCCCCTACTGGGGATATGCCCACAACCAAGGTACATGCCCTTGACCGGAATCGAACCCGGGTCCCTGCAGTCCCCAAGCCGACGCTCTATCCATTGAGCCAAAACGGTCTCGGCATATATCATTTTTAATGTGACATAATAGTTAAATGTTGAACATTCTTTTCTAAAAGTTATGTTGTCTACAAAGTTAGTGCAACTTAATTGGCCTCTAAAGATTATTTATTCTGATGTTTCACTTTACCATGAGGCAATTGGGACTTGAGACAGTTTTGACTTCTGTAAGGTCATGTATTACTCCTAGAAGAACATTGTCTTTATGGAAAGCTGGGTTTAAATCTGTAGGCCTCTGTCTTGGGCAAAATTCCCCTTTACCTTTCATGCCTTGATTCTATATATGAGATGAAATAATAATGCCTACTTTAACATTGTGAAGATTATGTATTATAAAATTGCCACATAGTGTCTGTGTCATAATCATTATTTATTATGGTAATTATTTTTATTTTATTTATTACTCCCTTCCCAAATGTTGAATTCAAGTAATAATCACAAATTCTCATAATAATTGATTCTTTTTATTATAAAAGTAGCTTGTTTGAAATGTATATCACTTGTTCAAAGTTTTTATAGTATAAAAGGATACAAAAATAAAAGAGAATATTCTCATTCCCTCCAAATCCAATGATGTAAATGTTATTGTTTATTATATAAAATTAAATAAATATGAAAATTTAAATATGAACATTGAAAAAGAAAATTATATTTTAAAATAAACCTATTTTTAAAAAAATTATTGTCTTATTTGCATTATGACAGAGTCTTAAGCACGGAGAATGAATAATAACATTTTAAGGGAAACATAAAAATATATAAGATACAGCTCTTTGGCTTTCATTAAAGTATGATTTTGCAGATTTTATTACAGTTTTATTATAGGAATATAAATAGACTATTTAGTAACTTTATAAATTCGGATTACCTATTTATTAGGATATTATTCACCTACTGATTCTGAAGGCATTAGATGTGTCCTCCCTTATCCTACTTAAGGGTTGATTGGGCATTGAAAGCTTTTTGATATTTTATCTTTGGTTTTAGAAACTGGTTTAATGAATCATGAGGTCTACAAGGTATTCTTAACCTTAACAATTTTATTATTAATGAAACATAATTATAAGCTAACTTGCTGGACCTTTTGATCTAAGGCATACTAAGAAAATAAGAGCACTGTATTATTTAAAAGGTCATTTCTTACACTGTAACCCAAAGTTATATTTATGAAAAATTTCTTTTCACATATTTTGAAAGAGTTGGAATACACTTAAGAACCCCAGTGAATTCAATAAAAAGGGAAGGGCGAGAGAAATATACTACATAGTTGAATTCCATGCTTAACATGTGGGACAAACTTAATTATAATTGTCGTAATTTTAGTTTATTTTTAACATGAGGATAATCTCAAACTAATTGTAATTCAGAATCTTGAATAAATATTCCCTCTAATCTCCAAATAACTTTGATAATAAATTTTCATAATTGGAACATTGTTTTTGAGAAAAAATGATTTCTTATCAGAGGTGTATAGTGTTCGTGTCAGTGATAAGAAACATTGTCTTTGGGGTTTTTTAATAGTGAAAAATAGATTACACATTATGGTTGTATGGTGAATGGCATTTCTCAGGCAAGTATTGTAGTGGTGAGTGATTGGGGAAAAAGTGCTTTTCATTTCAGGTTTTGAGATCACCATTGAGCACCCACACACAGATGTGGTGAAATGTACCCAGCTAGTAAGAGGTAAGTGATCTTTGAAACTTTTTAATTAAATACAGTATTTATGATTTCTGTTGTCTGTAATTGATTTGAATGCTTATTTTGTTATTATAGCCTTTTCTTGAATTTTATTAAAATAAAGGAAATGTCATTTTGAAGCATTACTTTTTAGTGTTGGTTATCTTCCTATTCATCTACTTCTATTTGTATACACTTCAGTGAGAGTTTCATTTCACTAAAAATTTGGAGGGCTTCAAATATTCGGCTCTCTACCTCCCCATTAGGCTATGCTTGTCCTATATTTCAGTTAATATTTAAGATGTAGGCCATTAACACATGAGTACAGAGAGTAATACTAATTTTTAATTTATGCCAGAAACTTTCATTGACTTCTTGAAAAGACTACAGTATAAGAATTTGGAGGTCAACCTCAAATTTTTTTAATAAAAACTTGTGTTTCTTAGATTTGTCATGTTTGCCAATGTTTTGCCCATCTTCATTTGAACAAAATTGTTTTAATACATTTCACAGTTCTTCAGTATTACTAAAAATGGTTTTCTTTTTGTGTATAATGAAGAAATATATAGCATGATACATAGTGTGTAATGTGGCTATTACACCTTTTATAAACAGGAATAAGGAAGCTTTTGTACTTTTTGTTTTACTGCTTATAAAGCATGTGGAACACATTTTTCTGCTCTTGTTAATGAATCCTGTGTATCTGTTATATGCCTAGAAATGGTTTTTCCACATTTGCATGTTGTTATACTGCCGCTACTAATACTGTTTCCCATTAGAAATGTTATATACTAATAGCAATCCCTTAGAACCTTTAGTGTGCCTTTTTTCTATTACTTCCTTTTTGAAAATTAAATTTTGCAGTTTCATTCTTTTACCACCAGACTTCTTTAGGATTATTCTAAACAAAATGGGTAAGACTTTTGAAGGCCTTGTTTTGTTTTTTAGTGTTTACTTAAATATCCTCACATTTTATTCATTCTAAATTGAATTCACTTTATACCTAGATAGGATTTTATTATGTTATGACTACATTAAGAAAAAAGGCTCTGTTATCTGGCACCACAAGAACTGGACCTCTAAAAATGCCATTATATTTTAATCCTAATAGCACGTATTATCATTTGTAAACTTGAACATACTTAATTATAGTTCCTGTTCTTTGTGATCATATGAATATATTTTATAGCACATTCTCATCCCCAGTCTTACAGTATAGTATAGATTTGTATAAATAACTAGTATAGATGTTGAATTAAGAAAAAAAAATCTGAGTAGTACTTTTTTTCTAAAAACTTGAAAGGGTAAACTATTTTGTCAGACTAATGGAAAGCCATATAATTTGTTTTAAATTGAGTCTGATGAATAATGATATTGAAGAAAGATATTAATATAGGTTAAATAATACTTTAGTAGGAATTGAAACTGGATTTTCAGCTTAGTATTGTGAAGTTTTAATTTTTTAAAAATTGTTTTTCAAAGTTTAGTAATTTTTTGTACTTTATCCTATATTTAAAAAAGCTAGAGACATAAAGAACATTGATTTGCAAAATTGAGTAGTAAATTTCAAAACATTTATAAAAACTAAATTTTATGTATCATCCAAAGCAAAATATTAAAATTAAGTTTTTTTAATGTTTAAAATGTGACTGACTTAAATTTTAGTACAGATTTTATATATGTTTAAACTCCTCTTGTGTGACTAACATTTTGAGTAACAGGGTTTGTATCTCACTCCATTTAATAAATTTTCTTTCATGTTTGGTCTCTTTTTCTTTGCTCTATTTACAATTTTAAGCTAAGAAAAGAACATTTTCCCTACATTCTTCCTCTGTTGCACAGTGAAGCTATTGAATTTAGACATCTTGCAAGGTGAAAACTGCTATGGCAATTTAAAATTTCTTATCTATATATTTTGTGTCTTTTGTGAAAGGAGTAAATGGTTTGACTTCTTTCAAGTCCTTTACCTCCTTTCCCCACAAGAGAAAATTGGTATTATGCTCCTTTGCTGCAGAATTGGCTAATGTCATTTTACAGGGACCTTCACTTTCCTGATTTATCCTTTCTTTCCCATAAGGAAAGAAAGCAATATTTAAGTCAAACTGTCTCCAGGACATTCTTGGACACTCTTAGCATACAGCTCTGCTAAACCAAGTCCCTTTTTAAGATTCACATGGGACAGCAAGGATTGCAGGTGCTACAGATAACACTACCAGGGGGCAAGGATTTTGAGGCCTTTAGAGAAGGATGAGATGAAGGGAACTGACCCTAGTTGAAACAAAGGGGAAAGATTATGTCAGTTTTATGAATGTAATTGGAAGGAAAGGGGGTACTATAGCAGAGGCATCCCTGTTGGGAAAAATAAGAAGCAGAAGGGGAGGGCCTGTTTTCCATTTCAAGTGTCTTAATTTCTATTCTTTGAGAGGTTGACAATGTTGAAGCATTATGATTCCCTCTACATTACTCATATCTAAAGTTCTATTGGATTCTATAATTTTAAATAATAATAATAATAATAATATAGTGGAGTTTCCTATATCTGTCCTTACAATGTTTTAGGTTGTTTATTAATTGATGCTTAGTAGCATGATGAGAAACTGAGCAGTTGTGCTCTCTGACTTTGGAGGGTGGGGGTTTGTTTTCTTTTATTTTGATGGAAGTACTAAGCCAATTTAAATATGATTGAGGATTAAGTCTGGCAGGCAACTCTTTGTATTTTGTATTAGACTTCAAAATCTTTTCTTCTTCTTCCTCTTTTTTTTTTTTTTTTTTAAATCCAGGAGAATGCTTAATTGCAACTTTTAGCTGACTAGATGCTTAACTTAGTAACAAGTTTAGCCCTTGTAACTGGCTAGCTAAAAGCAAATCGGCTTGTTTCTCAGATCTTTGGGGGATAGCAAGAAACATTTGAGTGAATGTTGTTGAAGATTTTCAGTAGTATAGAAAATGATGGCGCTCTTGTGATATTTGTAAGTAGTAAGTAAAATTTACTTTTTGTGTACACATCTTTGAAGTTTTTGTTATGTTGAGAACTTTTTAATGGTAGCATGTTAAAGCTGATAGTATTGTCTTCGTTTTTCTTTTTTTTCCTTACAGCAAGCAAGGATTTGGCACAGACATCCTATTTCATGGCTACCAACAGGTTGTTATCCTGACCCTCTTTGTTGCACTGTTGTAGCACACTATAGCTTCCTTTAATGCAGGGCCCCCTCAATGTGTCTCTTACCCTTGTTGCAGCAGGAGACTGGACCATCTACTGTGGTGGTACCTTCCTGTCTGCTTTGCGGTGTATTGTACAAGGGACTTTGGGCACAGAGGGGTTAAATGCACAATGTGAAGTGTAGTGGTGCTTTCTGATGACATATTCTCGATTTGTGAGTGCATAAGTCTAAAATTGGTAGCCTGAATAGCAGCTAAAGATTACACAGAGCTAAACTTAACGTAGAAATTCGAGCAACTTGGTAAGTATAAAGCTATTTCTAGTTTATAATTATAGTTAAATGACAATTTTTAAAATTTCACATTGATCCAATCTTAACTTTAATCATTAAAGTTTTTTAGTAAATAAAATTTCTATAACTTGGTTATATAATACCCATTAGTAGTAAATTAGAAGTAGTCGACTCCTATCAGTGCCTAGATGTGCATAAGTACAATTTTTACTTTTAAAAAACCTTACTTCCTTTTCAGTTTATATAAATACAAAATGGTGTGGGTTGTGATTGATCAATAAACATTTTCATTAATTCTGAAACTGAAGTGGAAGAATAGTTTTTAAAAGACTTTAATATCTAATATAAAATTCTGTATTGTATTGATTATATTAATTATTTAAATTTGTTGGGGTTTTTTAATGGGTTTTTGGGGAAGAGGGACCAAACCAGCTTTAAGTGGCCCTTAATTTTTTTGTGACACTGTTAAGTTTTATTTAAATTTTGGATTGGCAAATACCCATGTATATCTTAAGATATATGTTATTGGGCTTTAACCTCTATTCCAAGGAATTCTGAACAACAAAAGCAAAAATAACACTTAAATTTAAAACTTGGGTTAGAAAAGCCTACTTGTAACATGTTACATGTCTAGTCTAGAGAAAGAGTATTTTTGTAGTACATAGCAACATTGGGCTTTGAAGCTGTTGCGCAAAAGGTAAGTTTTCTCTGTGGCTCTATTGAAAAGAAGTCAGAGGTTTACATAGAAAAAGTGTTAAATTCTCTTTAACTTACTTGAGAATTACATTTAAGCCACATCAAATGGTAGAATCCCTAATTATAATGCAGTGTTGAAATGTGTCACTTTTACCAAGAGTCCAATATTTTTTCATTACTTCTTTGCCATGGTATTACAAAAAAAAAAAAAAAGTCACAAAAAAAGTTTAAGGTATTATAGTGGTTATTGGAAATAGAAGTGTATTAGGTATATGTCTTCACCTCCATTTATAAAGAAATAAAAATGCTTTTAGTTTAGATGTAAAAACAAAACTCAGAAATATTAATATAAGTATTAATAAAATATTAATAAAATACTCGGGTTTAATAGTATGGGTAATGTTCATAATGTATAGGATTTTTTTAGTACTAAAATTTTGTAAGTATAGTGTTAGCTTTTAACATAATAAAATAGGTTTTGTACTCTAGGCTTACAGAAGAAAACCTTTATACTTCTGTTTTTGTTCTTACTGGTAAATGTTTTTTCTTTGTTTTACATATTTGAATTTCTATGACTCTTCATTGTCAAACATGCACCACAACAGTCTACATCTTACCACCTTCTGTCTTCAGTACAAACCAACAGTGATAGCATGTGTATGCATTCATTTGGCTTGCAAATGGTCCAATTGGGAGATTCCTGTGTCAACTGATGGAAAACATTGGTGGGAATATGTGGATCCTACAGTTACTTTAGAATTATTAGATGGTAAGTAAAAAAAAATAAATCTTTTTTGAGTTAAAAATATTTCTTTTTATTATGGAAAAATTCTATCTAATTCTGTATAGGTTTGAAAACTAGTGAATCCCATACACTCATACCAAACTGAATAGTTACTAATTCTGGCCAATTGATTATCCTTCCCTGCAGTTTTTTATTTTTAATCCTTACCTAAGGATATGCCTTTATTGATTTTAGAGAGAGGGAAAGTAAGAGGGAGAGAGAGAAAGAGAGAAATAACAATTGGTTGTCTTTCGTATACACCACGAGAGAGAACCCGAAACCTAGGTATGTGCCCGGACCAAGAATCGAACCAGCGATCTTTCGGTGTACAGGACAATGCTCCAGCCAACTGAACCACACCGGCCCGGGCTCCCCTATAGTTATTTTAATGCTAATCCAAAATATCATTATTCCTTGTATTAATATTTTGGTTTGTATTTAAAAAAATAGACTTTTTTTTTTTTTTTTTTTTTTAGATATAACAACTATAATTCTTTTTAACAATTTGGTAAATTTAAAAGAATAATTACATGATCAGATGAACACAGAATGAAAGTAAGAATTCATTAGCCTAAAAAAGATAAAGTGTACATATATTAACCACTACTGAATATCTCAAGCCCTTTGACACTTCTCAAGCTCAAAGGTTAGTTTTGTTAGTTTAAAATGTACGGATTCAAAGTCAGGTATTATTGCAGAAGATGTGAAGCAATCAACTAATGGTATTTTCTGGGTAACAGTTCTTGCTCTGTAGTTCCACTGATGAAATGTGCCATTGTTGCCTTGCATCATTAAATGTAGTTAACAAGGAAAAATTGGGGTTACAAGCTCTCTAAATTGAGCCTAGAATTTGAGGGTCTTCTGACAAGAAATTTCCATGGTTAAGGCATAAGAGAATTTGGCCAGAGTTAGGAGATTCTTAGAGATTAGATATTTTAGCTATGTTATTATAAATTTCAGAAAGGAACTAGATAACATTCTTACTTCATAGATGTGCCTAAACTAGTATGTTGGGTTTTAGCTTATTCTTTTTGTGGGCTTTCCCCAACTTCCTTCACAAAATTTGAAACTAATGGAAAATAGGATTTATATCTGTTGCAACTGAGGACATCTAGAAACACAAAAATAATTTTATCAATGCACTAGCGGCCTGGGGTGGAGGGAGGGTCTTTCAGCCCAGCCTGCACCTTCTCCAATCCAGGACCCCTCAGGGAATGTCCCACTACCTCTTGCAATCTGGGACCGCTGGCTCCTAACTGCTCGCCTGCTTGATCACCTCTAACCCATCTGCCTTCCTGATCGCCCTTAACTACCCAGCCCCGCACCTAGGACCCAGGATTCCCTCCCTCTGGCTGGCCGCAGCCCCCCCCCCCCCCCCCCCGGAGCGGGCAGCTTTTCTCCCTCTCCTGGGCTGCAGGCGCCAGTACCCGGGACGTGTGTGGGTGACTTTGCCTGATCCTGGCTTTGTCAGGAAGGATGTCCAGATGGTCATCAGGAAGATGTCCAGTCTAATTAGCATATTACCCTTTCATTGGTATAGATCTTGTTGTGGGTACATCAGTTTGATATCTCTTATTGCTAGTAATGAAAACCATCATTACTTGATTAAGATGTTATTTACTGTGTTTCTTCATTGTAAAGTTAGTTTTTCTCTTTGCAATTAAATATCTTGAGGAATATATCCTTTTTTTCCCCTCCTCAAACTTTTGTCCCTAATTTTAAATCTATTTAAGGATCTTGCCTGTAACAAATATTATTATTATTATTATTATTGCCTAGTGGAGGTTTATATTTTGGGAGAATATTTTTTTATTGCTACTAAATTTTCCAGAGATCCTGAGTAGGCACATAAAATTGGGGTGGGAAAGTGATTTTCTCTAAAAATACTAGTTCAGAGCTCTGTCCATTGTAAATGCTGAAGATTGAATAGGAGGGTGAGGGTGAGGTAGATGAACTCTTAAGAACCTTTTTAATATTGCTCACTTGAGAGAAATTTAAATCATAAAGGCACCTTCTAAGTTATGAATTTAAATTTTATTTTTAGAGTTAACACATGAATTTCTACAGATACTGGAGAAAACGCCTAGTAGGTTGAAGAAGATTCGAAACTGGAGGGTAAGAGAATTGGCAGGGTTTAAAAGATTATCAATTTGTCATTTATCTAACAATTACAAAGCTAACCAGTTTAAATTTGGGGTGCTAAATATTCTTTATTTCCAGTATTCCTTAATAATTATAATGTATAATGAAACTATATACACACATACTGTATTCAACTACTGTGTCCATTGGACTTTGCCGAGTATTTTATAAATTTTTTATAAACCTCACAATGGTGGTGATATTCTTCTCATTTTACAAATGGGCAAATTAAGTTACTTTCTCAAATGATGGCTAGATTGAATATCAAATTCCAAAATTAGTGCTTTCAACATTTCATAGTCTTTTTTATAAATATAGAATTTTATAAGCAAAGAATTATGTATTAAATTCCTGTGTTGTCATCGCCTTTTTTTGTGTTTTATTTAAATAGGCTGATCAGGCGGCTAAGAAACCAAAAGTAGATAGACAAGTATCAGAAACGCCGCTTCTTGGTTCATCTTTGGTCCAGAATTCCATTTTAGTAGATAGTGTTGCTGGTGTGCCTGCAAACCCAAGTTTTCAGAAACCCTCTACATCGGCATTCCCTGCACCAGTACCTCTGAATTCAGGAAATATTTCTGTGCAAGACAGCCATACGTCTGATAATTTGTCAGTGCTAGCAACAGGAATGCCAGGTACCTCATACAGTTTGTCGTCACACCAAGAATGGCCTCAACATCAAGAATCCGCAAGGACCGAGCAGATATATTCACAGAAACAGGAGGCATCTCTGTCTGGTAGCCAGTACAACATCAACTTCCAGCAGGGACCTTCTCTCTCACTGCATTCAGGATTGCATCACAGACCTGACAAAATTTCTGATCATTCTTCTATTAAGCAAGAATATACTCATAAAGCAGGGAGCAGTAAGCACCATGGACCAATATCTGCTACTCCAGGAGTTATTCCTCAGAAGATGTCTTTAGATAAATACAGAGAAAAACGTAAGCTAGAAACCCTTGATCTGGATGTCAGGGATCATTACATAGCTGCCCAGGCAGAACAGCAACACAAACACATGCAGTCACAGGCATCCAGCAGCAGCTCTGTAACTTCTCCCATTAAAATGAAAATTCCTATCACAAATGCAGAAAAGCCTGAAAAATACATGGCAGATAAGAAGGAAAAAAGTGGATCGCTGAAACTACGGATCCCATTACCACCCACTGATAAAAGTGCCAGTAAAGAAGAATTGAAAATGAAGATAAAAGTTTCTTCAGAAAGGCACAGCTCTTCTGATGAAAGCAGTGGGAAGAGCAAACATTCCAGCCCACATATTAGCAGAGACCATAAAGATAAGCACAAGGAACATCCCTCCAACCGCCACCACCCCAGCAGTCACAAGCATTCCCACTCACACAGTGGCAGCAGTGGTGGCAGCAAACACAGTGCTGATGGAATACCACCCACTGTTCTGAGGAGTCCTGTTGGCCTGAGCAGTGATGGCATTTCCTCTAGTTCCAGCTCTTCAAGGAAGAAGCTGCATGTCAATGATGCATCTCACAACCATCACGCCAAAATGAGCAAAAGTTCCAAAAGTTCAGGTAGTTCATCTAGTTCTTCCTCCTCTGTTAAGCAGTATATATCCTCTCACAACTCTGTTTTTAACCATCCCTTACCCCCTCCTCCCCCTGTCACATACCAGGTGGGCTACGGACATCTCAGCACCCTCGTGAAACTGGACAAGAAGCCAGTGGAGACCAACGGTCCTGATGTCCATCACGAGTACAGTACAAACAGCCAGCATTTGGACTACAAAGATACATACGACATGCTGGACTCGCTGTTAAGTGCCCAAGGAATGAACATGTAATCGTTTGTTTAGGTCAATTTTTCCTTTCCTTTTTTAATTTAAAAATTGTTAGAATGGAATCCTCCTGATCTAGCAGTGGTAACACCTGCCGTTGCTGCCACTGTTTCAATATTTGTAAGTGCTGCTTTATTCTTCATTCTGAAAAGAAGAGATTATAGTAAACAAGTCTTTATCTCCACATATGATAGTGTTATAAATACTGTAAAAGCATGGAAGGTGCAAAACTCAGTATTCTACAATTGCAGCTAAGAACATTAGGATGAATGGCTGGCTGCTTCTAGGAATATAAGATGCCTCAAGCATTTGTTATTTATAATTTGAATACTGTAGCTATATTATTTTTGTTGTTGCTTGACTTTTGAATGAGTGTAAATTGTTTTCTTTTGTGTATTTATACTTGTATGTATGATTTGCATGTTTCAATGTTAAAGGGATAAAACAGTATATTGAAAACAGTTTACAGGAAAGTGGAGAAAAATGTACATACATTTTTGTATGTTTAGATATTACCATAAATACTCAGGATTGGAGCTGCTTGTAAGTATAACAATATACAGAATAACTTTATTTTATCTTGTCAGAGTCCATCACTAATCTAAAACAAAGGTGGCACTTTTTCATGTTAACCTTAAACTCTAGGCCTTACTGGAAGCCCCTGAAGGGGGACACTTCAATACCAGATGGGTATGCAGTGCCACAAATGGTCACTTACACTGTGAGGCACTCACTGCCTTCAGGGGTTCTGACCAGATTGGCTGCTGAAATAGCCCCTAGTTTTCTGAAGGCTTGAAGAGGAAAAAATTAAGTTTACATTCTCTTGATGTGAAGTGCAGTTAAATGTTTGTTGGTTTATTGCAGTACTATATTTAACACAGAGCTGTTAATAATGGTTATGTAGATTACTGTGATTTGAAAACTAAATTCACAAAACGTACATAGTGAAAAATTAAGTTTTTTCCTTAAAGAAAAAAACGTCAACACTACATTGTTGAACAGTAGACAGGGATCGCATTTCCTTCAGCATTCGGAATGACAGTGTATTCTCAAACATACTCCTCCCCTCAAGCTTGTTTGTGTGTGATGCCACATTTCTTTTTCAGGTAAATTCAGTCTTCCTTTTAAAAATAAAATTAAAACTATTACTCTCTCAGTTCTTTATATTTTTAACAATAAATAAAAAGATCACTGTGCATTGTACCTGTATTTATAGCTTATCAGGAACCTCTGAGGAAAAAAAGGTAGAGAGCTAGTGGAGGTTTTACATTTGTTTGCACATCTCAGTATATTCCTGTTGAGGTCACATTGGCACAGTCATCTGACTTTGAATAAACAATAGACATTAATTTGTTTAAAATTTGTTTTAAACACTAATAATATGGCCCTGGTTTAACAGTGAGTCTTCTATTTATTCTGTGGTAAATCTTTGAGCTGTTGAGTATCTTTGAGATGGGTTGAATTCAGCTTCTGTTGAACTGAAGGCTGTCTTCATTTTTCCTCTATGTATATGATTTATTTTTGTTTTAAAAAGCCACTGATATGTGCACAATTTGTAATTTTACCCAAGTATGTTGCAGTTGTAAATACTAGAGTTTAATCTTGTGCTCTACTTTTATTTAGCAATTACCTAATTTGCCAATAGCTTTATAATTTTTTTAAAAAGATAATTGTTTGTTATTTTGTCGATGTTATTTGAATTTAGTATAGTAGGAGCCTCTTTCTAGGGACTTTGCCTAGATAGCATGTCCTAACATTTGTTCGTCTTGCAAAACTTTAGTAATCTTTGTCATTATGTGTAACTTTGTTGTTCTGTATGGCATATTATTGTATCCACAAACATGATAATTTTGATGCAGTTATACTTTGACAGTGGTACATAATCCAAGGACTAGTACATAGAATTAAGCTGAGTACAGAATGAGGGAGGGAAGGGTTTTGTTCTTGGTAATTTAGATGTGAAACCTCTAAGGAGCTATCATGTGAAACTACATAGTGTGGTTATGCTACTGTATACTTAGGGATGATAATACCAGGAATTTTAATAAGATTTTGTAAAGAATATCCAGAAAATTAGTGAACATATTTTCAGTATGACATAGAAAACAATGTGAATATTTAAGGTCTGTGACTATACTTAAACTTCACAAAGAATTTGCAGAATTGTTTTGAGATGTGGGAATAAAAGTAATTTTGTTGAATCTTTATTGGTGCTAATGATGGACAGTTAAAAAAGTTAGCTAGTGTATATTGTTATGGGTCAGTACTTATTAGTACTTCCAAAATTGAATTTAAAATGCTATGTATTCACTTTTCACTCTGTAAATGTAAATCTTTACAATGACTTTATTTATTAAAGGGCAGCCAGTTGTAATTTTTACAGGATTGTGTGAGCTGTTCAAACTCTTTAACTTCTGAACGGGACATTAGCTTCCAAAACCACGATGGGGATAAACATGGAAATCCTTTTAGTTTCAATTCCTTTCAGTGAAAATTCACATTATTCATATTATCATGAATTTTCTTTAGCCGTCTCATCAGCCTGGTCCCAGTAGGCTCAACCAAAGAAAAAGACTCTAGTGAATGGACATTATTACTGAGTCTTCTTGTAAGTAGCCATAAATGAACCAAAATAGTATCACCAAATTTAGGTCTGAAATTCCACATGTGCAAAGTACTGTTAAGGTGAAACATTTTTGATGAGATTTTTAAAACTATTTGGAATATTAAAAAGCATTATCTTTTAACAGTGTATAAAAGAGTGATTCATTCTTTAGTTGTGTTCTCCCCAGGTCATAGGTTGTTACTTTTATGCAGAAGCACACTGCATACGAAGGCTTTACTTCTACCTCTTTCGACCAACTTGCCAAAATTAGCTGTGCCCCCTAATATTTACCTTAGCTACTTTAAAACACAATATTTCAGAACCAAAGCAAAGGAATATCTTTTCACAGAAAATTTCCTGGAGGGCCTACCTTACAAAACTGGCAGTAGTCTTTATTGTTAAGACTTTGCAAAAATCCTAGTTATTTTTTTTTTTTATTTAAATCTGAGGTTCCTTTTTAGATTTTTTTAAAAAAATATATTTTATTGATTTTTTACAGAGAGGAAAGGAGAGAGAGAGAGAGAGCTAGAAACGTCGATGAGAGAGTAACATCGACCAGCTGCCTCTTGCACACCCCCCCACCGGGGATGTGCCCGCAACCAAGGTACATGTCCTTGACCGGAATCAAACCCCGGACCCTCAGTCCGCAGACCGACGCTCTACCACTGAGCCAAACTGGCTTCGGCTGAGGTTCCTTTGTTATTGCTGGTCTTTAAATACTAAAACGTCATATGAATCATCCCTAATTTTATCTTTGAGTGTATTTATAGATGCATCTGGCTCTTCCTATGAGTCTGCTATTCGTTCTGGTTAGAGTTTTTAAGAGTCCAAGAAAATTTTCTACCATAATACCTGATTTCATACAGAATTTCTTGAGGGGTGTTTACATTACTTTGTACTGTTAGAAATCTTCAAAGCCGAAAGTTTTTCTGAAAAATAGGGCTAACCAGAATAAGGGTCTGGTTCTGGGGCATACAATCTAAGCCACCAGTCCAGGGCTCAATGGAGATGACAAATGGCCACCATCCTAGAATGGATGGGGCTCTTTCATACAGAGTTTGGGGAAGAAAGGTGTAAGTTGTCATGGAAGATTTCCTGTCTTTCTCACCCTCCAGCCTGATGTAATTTAATTTAGGATAGGACATGAGAATTTTCCTTTTGTCAGTTGGATACCTTAATTTTAGCCTGTATATCCCCTTAGAACTAAAGAAATGACTAGTTGAGGTTTATTTTAGATAACCAATTAAAGGTTTTTGTTATTGAATGCCTTGCCTTAAAAGCATTTAAAGCACATTTTTGTTATATTTGATCAGTTAAATTGCTGAGTTTTATCCCTTAACCAACCTTAGAAATAAACAGTAAATGACTAGTAATGTACTCTTTAAGTATCCTTGGTTGATGAGATATTTTAGTGCTTTGAAAATAAGGACTTCTTTTTTTTTTTTTAACATGGTATTATCTAGATAAAGTAAAAGTTGTATTCTCAAAAAATCTCACTCTTCCCAAATTTTATCTAAATAGAAAATAATAGTTCTCACCTAGTATCATGCCTAAATTGTTAGGTAATTGTAGGCATCTTGAGTCATCTTGCTGTCTCGTGCCCATCTATCTATATATATAAAAGCCTAAGCTATCATTACAACTGGTCGACCAATCAACCAGCCTGTAGCTATGATGTGCACTAACCACCAGGGGGCAGATGCTCAACACAGGAGCTGTCCCCAGAGGTCATGGTTTCTTTCCCCTCCTCCCCCCCCCCCCCCCCCACCAATCTCCCTAGGCCAGCCAACCTTCCATGGTCCCTCCCCCACCCCAGTTTGGACTAGACGGCCCTGATTGGCCCCAGTCGCCAACCAGGCTGGGGGACTCCACTTGTTTATAATGGGCTGATTTAAACAGGCATTTTTATATTAGAAAAGCAGCACATTCTGTCCCTGGCTGCCCAGGGTGCCAACTTACTATGCAGATGTGTTCATTTGAAAATTCAAAATTCAGCTACGTTAATATCTGAAATTTGATCAATGTAAGGTGGCATGTTGCTCATTTTGTAAAAGAAGTTTGCCTTTGAAACATCTTTACAGCCAGTGGGGTCTGGGATACTCCAGTTGTTTTCAGCCTGATGCCATGCATCCATTTTTCCACAATGTAGAGTTGGGCAGAGCTAGCTTTTGCACCTGTGACTCTTTGTGGCCTCTGTAATTTTCCAGTACCTGTTCTGCCTAACAGGTTCTTGGGTAGGTTGGTAAGCAAGATACATTGAAGGTTGTGTGGCTAGGAACAATTTTGTTCTTATAAAGGTGACTTGTTCACTGTGATCCATCAGTCTCAAAAGTAAATTCTGAAGATTAATTTCAAAGTTTTTGAGGGAAGCCTCGCTTAAACCTGTTCAGTTGTTGGTTTAATTTGATTTGCCTATTGTTAATGAGTACGTTGTTTTCAAGCAGTTTCACTAGGTTTGAGAAACTGCACATGTACTCATGGAGTTGTCAACAGTGACTGGGATTTCATTTTCTGAGTTCCCCAAGAACTATTGAATGAGATGTTTGCTGATAGAAAATCCAAAGCAGGAATATGTGTATACGGCATAAATTCAACTAGTCATTGAATTTCAGTTTGGTATCTATTACAAGAAATTAATAAAATTTGTGTATTCACAACATAAATCCGAGGCTCTAATATGTCTTGTTAATGTGAATCAGAAATAAGTTTCAGTCCCTGGGAAATCAGGTCTCCTAGTATAGCTTACTCTGAGTAAATTCAGATACCATCAAGGAGTATGGTCTCAGGGATCAGAATATCTTCATTCCAGTCTCAGCCCCACCACTTTCTTCCCTACAACATGTTGGTGATAGTACCTATCATAGGGCGTGTGGTTTAAGGTGCGGGTGATGGAAGGCTAAAAAGAACATGATATGGAAGAGCATCTAATAGAGGTATATGTTTTGGGTATTAGGGAGAATGATGAAGGCCAATCTAGGTGCATAAACTTCAACATGTGCTTAAGCACTGCATGCCTCCCATTTATAGAACTCTGGTTGTTCACTCTAATTCATACTTCGGGATTTTTTTTTGTTTAACTTCTTTTGTCACCTCCACCAAAACCAAAGAGTAAATAGTTGCAACTATACGGAAGGAGGATTAACCATAAAAAAAATAAACTACTTTAATATGGCTGATCTTCCCCAACCTCCTCCCCCACCCATTTCCACTGACTTCCTGCACTGCACCTTCCACCTGGGAAAAAAAAAAAGAAAAGAAAAGAAAAAGCCTTGCATGGCTTTAATAACACAAAACTAGGGTAGAAAAGCTACTTCCTCCAAAATGCATTTGAAGCCCAAATCGAAATGTTTTGAAATCACATTAAAAGGTTTGTCTTCATCTTATGTTGATAACACCAGTAAGGTGTTATTGTTAGCATAGTAAATTACATGAGTTTTACTTAGAAATGTTATAAAGTCAGTAATTCCAGTTAACCAGACTTAGTAATTCCATTTAGTGATTCATCCTACTCCATTGTTCCCTCATTTTTCCACGACTGTTTTCAATATAATTTTTAAAAATGGTGCTTTTTGTTTTAACTACTATATGAATCTGCCTGTTCCCTTCTTTAAAATCACCTCTTAAAGCAAATGGAGAACCTCATTAATTAGGGTTTTTATCATATTGCCATGAAATTAAGAGGCTTATTAAACCTTATAAATGTCCAGAGATATACCTGATTTTTTTTTTTTTTTTTTTTTTTTTTTTTTTTTTTTTTTTTTTTTTTGTCTTTGAAGTCATAACCTATAGTAGCAACTACTTTAGGGATGACTTCAGTCGTCGTTTTTCACAAGTTTGGCAGCCATGGCAATAGGACAGTATAATTGAGCTTTTCCTCTGAGTGTTTGCTATTCCCACCTCACACTAATGCCATCTGCAAAGTCTTGTTAACTTTGTTGAGAACCGGTGAAGATGCAGACTACCAACACAGGGTGCTTTCAAGTTCACCTACAGGCTAGAAAGCCTTTTTAAATGCAAGTTTATACATTATGTAGCAGCTTTGGATTAATACAAGTGCAGCAAGTAGAAGGAATAAAGACAAACCAGTAGGTGATGGAGGCTTTTGGCTGCTCATTGAGCTGATAAGAGTTTTTCATCTCAGAGCAACTCATTACACTGGAAATCCCAGGGCTGGGGTAGTGGTCATACAGGAGGGTTGATAGAGCAGTTGAGTGGAATACAGCATGTTCCCAGTCCCTTACTCTATAGATCACTCCCACAATGGCAACTCCTAATTCAGCCGCTGAGAAATGGCCACAAATTCCATACAACTGAAACTGCTTTTAGAAGTTTACGTGGGGAGTTACATTTCCTTTGGTTGAGCTCGGGGCCCAGAGCATACAGGAAGATTCACCCCATAATGAAATGCACCTCTGAATGTGAAAATGGGCATTGTGCTTGGTAAGAAGGGAGGTGGTCAGAGGGGAAGGCAATACTGCCAAGTGAAAAGCTTTTCAAACCATTCAGATAATCAAAACCACTAACAGGACTGGTGGGTTTATCAGCACCCCAGTGAAGTTTTGTTTGAATAAAATGTAATGATGTAACTGATTTTGTTTTTAAACCATGAATCTGGAAGGCAGCAGGGAAAGTCACCAAAGTCAAATCTGGGTGGCAGTCCCAACACCCACCTACCAGTGTATGACCTTGAGAAGATTGTGTAGCTCTGAGCCCTGTTCATCAATAAAATGGAATTACTACCAACCCAAACAGCAGCTAGAAGTAAACGATGTGCATTTTTCTAGTAAGAGCTCAATGAATGCTAGCCCTCCCAACTCCACCTACCTGCACTCCCAGTCTTCTTCCAGACACTTTTCCTACTGAGGAAGCTCTAAAGCGTCAAACACTTGGGCGATGATGAGACCTAATTCCAATCTCATGTCTTAACAAACAGAAAGCTCTTCTTGGGACCAAGGCTGGCCTATTGAAACTTTAAAGTTTTTTTTTTCCTTTAAAATTTTGTTTTTATTTTTTTTTTAAATATATTTCATTGATTTTATACAGAAAGGAAGGGAGAGAGATAGAGAGTTAGAAACATCGATGAGAGAGAGTCATCGACCAGCTGCCTCCTGCACACCCCCTACTGGGATGTGCCCGCAACCAAGGTACATGCCCTTGACCGAAATCGAACCCGGGACCCTTCAGTCCCCAAGCCGACGCTCTATCCATTAAGCCAAACCGGTCCTGGCTAAAAAAATTTTTTTAATTGATTGTAGAGAGGAAAGGCGGAGAGATAGAAACATCAATTATGAGAATCATTGATTGGCTGCCTCCTGCATGCCCCTTACTAGGGATCTAGCCTGCAACCCAGGCATATGCCCTTGGCCAGAGTCAAACCCAGGACCCTTCAGTCCACAGGTTGATGCTTTATCCATTAAGCCAAACTGGCTAGGGTGAAACTTTAAAGTTTTGAAGGGTCTGTTTCATATTCCAATACTTCAGAATTCTATATCAATAAAAGAGGGATAGGTTTGTTAACACCAAAGACACGTGTCCATTACTGTGATATGTATACATAGTACGAGTTGCAAACCTTTTGCTGGTGGAGGGTCTTTCCTACAATTTGTAAAAAAAAATCTGAAATGCATTAGAGCAAATCGCAATAAAATGAGGTATGCTTGTAAGTAAAATAAGACAACATATCCCTTAAATTCCTCTCAACTATGAAAAAGAACTGTACAAATTGGAGAGAAAGAAGGAAAGTATACTCACAAAAACCCGTCTAAGCATGTTGACCAAAGTGAAACCTCTTTTACCTCAGCTGGACCTCATTTCACATGTATTTCTCAAAACCCTGAAGCAGCAAGCCTGACTAACAGTCTGACAACTGGTGTGAGAATGCACCTCAAGTTTGTAGTTGTGACATGTTGAAATGATAGCCAGTTAAAAAAATTAAAATTAAAAAATCCTGCTATAGAAACCTTATCAAATATGCTTAGTCCACCATCTTAAAACAAGGGCTTGTAATAATTTTGACCACTTGTCCATGATCATTTTGGTGAGGTTTATCAGGGTTTGGGATATGAATGTGAAGAGTGGCCTTCGTGGGGATGTTCTTGGAATATAGAGACCAGGGTGCCCTGAAAGTTTATACATGCTGATCCTCTCCCGTTATCCAGTCAGTGGGCTAGGTTTAGCTAGTTCTACATGTGGCAATGACTTAATTCTCTCTACAAAAAAAAGTGAAGACCTCAAACCATACTACAAGTTATAGGAAAAGCAGTCTGAAGTTTATGAGGCCACCGAGTATAACCCGCTTGTAGTTGGAGACTTCAGAGGAGTTTGGGGCCCTCTGATAGTAAAATACTAAGGCCTTTAGCTCTTCCTGTTAATCTTGACGCTCCCATCACCTGCAAGGTTAAAATTGTAGCCCAAAATAAATAGAACCTAGTGTCTCTCTACTTTTAACCTCTTTCTTTCCTCAAGTCTCTTTTATAAAAAAAAAAAAAAAAAAAAAAAAAAAAAAAAAAGTGTCTACCCACTGAGCAATTAAGTACAATTTTTTTCCACAATTTATTTTAAACTAATGACACTACAATGACAGGACAAAAATTAAAAAAATATTGTATAAGCAATAGAGATTATAATTTCTGGATAGTCAAAACTGTAAACACTGGAATATGTGGGGGTTTTTGTTGTTATTCTTTTTTTAAAAAAAAATCTCATATACATAAGTAATCATGCCCGAACCTTAGAGAGACTACTATGTAACAAACTTTTCAGGTAGCGACACTGTAGGATCTAGTTAAACTGGGTCAGATGGACTTTCCAGTAGGAAAACCAAGGTCCTTTAACATCTTTGCCACAGTGAAGCGATAACAGGCTCGGTAATGGAACTGGAAAGGAAGTGCTGGTGCGTATTCAGTAACTTCTCTTCAAGAAGGAGTGCTTCAGGAGCTGAACAGCAGAGGGGCGCTCGTGCTGGTCCCTTGGAGAGGAAAACCACATTAGAAGCAACATCCAAAAGTGTGCATGCCAACCAGATCTACTTGACTCAAAATGCCAACTTTAAGAAGAAAGTACAACCTCTGCCAGTCAAACCGATGGATTGAGCCCAGCCTGCAGTTTTTAGCTGTGTGATCTTAGGCAAGTGACTCAGACTCTTTCCTCATCAGTAACATGGAAATAACAGTAATACCTAACTCATTGAAAGAAACAAATAATGAATATACAGCTGTGCAACAATGTCTGGCACGTAAGTAATTGTTCTTCTTTTTTTTTTTTTAAATACATGTTTATTGATTTTGTACAGAGAAGAAGGGAGAGAGAAACATCGATGAGAGAGAGTCATCGGTCAGCTGCCTCTTGCACATCCCCTACTGGGGATATGCCCACAACCAAAGTACATGCCCTTGACCGGAATCGAACCCAGGACCTTTCAGTCCCCAAGCCGACGTTCTATCCATTGAGCCAAACCGGTTTCGGCACGTAAGTAATTGTTCAAAAAACAGTTGCAATTATGATTAAAAAGTAGGCCCTATTTTTCATATTGTAGTTTTGTTCAGTTTGTTTATGGTAAAATTTATACACAAGTAAAATTATAATTTTAAAAAAGCTTACCGCACTTTTAACTAGCATTACATTTATCTTTAAAATTTCAAGGCACAGGAATCCAGAACGAAGGCTCTTAAGGAGTCATTTAAATATGTGCTGGTGATTAATTGAAATGATCCTATTTGGGGCATTCTTGGAAGAGCATAAAGTAAAGGGAGACAGTTGCTCAATTAGTACAACTGTACTTTTGTTTTTTCCCCTCAAGAAATCAAAAAGCTGCCGAGACCGGTTTGTCTCAATGGATAGAGTGTCGGCTTGGGGACTGAAGGGTCCCGAGTTCGATTCCGGTCAAGGGCATGTACCTTGGTTGCGGGCATATCCCCAGTAGGGGTGTGCAAGAGGCAGCTGATCGATGACTCTCTCATCGATGTTTCTAACTCTCTGTCTCTCTCCCTTCCTCTCTGTACAAAATCAATAAAATAAAAAGAAATCAAAAAGCTTTTGCCAATGAACCAGTCAATGAACTAATGAACCATCCAATAGTTATCTGCAATGATCAATTCCAAGGCATTCTTTTGGTTAAACTTGCATCTTTGGATAAGTTTTGGAGCAAATGACCACTAAGAATAGCCCAGGTGAAAATGGAAATAAAAATGAAATACTTTGGGGGGAAAAAGTGATATAAATCATTTAGAAATAAAAACTTCTCCTCTTCTAGGAGGTTCTTCCTCTGAATACAAGGCACACAGCCATCCAAAATGACTTATAATGATTCCTTTCGGTACAAAAAGCACTCCCTGATTCTAGTGGAGGTTCGAATGGGCCATATATTGGAGGGGAAATCTGTGGGCATTTATCTTCCTCCTCCTGCCTTCAGTTTCTTACCTGGTTAGGCACATACGCACAAAGTCCGCTGCGTTTTCTGAGAAGTGTTCAGGTAAGGGTGGCATCAGCCCCCGGTGTGCGCCAATGTAGAACATGGCTGCCACCCGGTCCATGGATGCCAGCGGAGGCTTGCCTGTGGCCATCTCAAACACAGTGCAGCCCACACTCCAGATGTCCGACTTCCTCCCATAGCCAGACTCATTGATGACCTCTGGGGCCATCCAGTAGGGAGTCCCATGCATGGACTTAAGCATGTCACTGTGAGTGCCATTTACACCAGCCCAGGCCAAACGTTTGGCACAGCCAAAGTCGATCAGTTTTATTATTCCAGTAGGCATGAGCATAACATTGTTTCCTTTGATATCTCGATGCACCACGCAGTTCTCATGGAGATAAGCAACGCCTTGCAGAATTTGTTCTGTGTATTTACAGAATACTATCTCAGGCAATGGCCCAAAACGGTTGATAATACTAGAGATTGAGCCACCAGGAACAAACTCCATGAAAATGCTCACGGTGTTTTTTTCTAAGCAGGTCCCCAAGTAGGCCACAATGTTGACATGTTTCAGTGCTTTGAGCAAATCCACTTCTTCCTGCAGTTTCCGGTATTCTTTTTCAGTAGATAATTTATCAGAGGTATCCAAAACCACCTGTTTTACAGCTATTAGCTCCCCTTGGCTAGTGAGACCACAATATACCTAGAAGCAAATCAATACCTATGATTAAATATAACCAGCATTTCAATGGAGCTAAGATGGGAATGAGCAGCGTGGTGAGTGGGTATCACAAATGACCTATATTGTTTAGATCCTGGCTTAACCCACCCCCAGCTGTGTAACTTGGGTAAGTTGTATAACAGTTGTGACTTCAATTTTTTTTTCATCTACAAAGCTGAGGTAAAGTTCTTACCTCACAGATATCTACAATGACTAACAGAGATGGTGGTTTGAGAAAGCTCCTTGTGTGATAACTAAAATAGGGCTATTTTAGTGCTAAAGTGTGGAGAAGCATGGAACTTGGTTGGAAAGTCTGTAAAAAGCAAACTCCAAAAGGTTGAAACCTACAGTGGGAGTTGGCTGAAGGCAGCTGCCCCTGCCTTGACCTTTCCAAACAAGTCCGTGTACCTGTAAGCTCCCAGGTGTTTACTGGAATCCTTGCTTAAAGGACACTGCAGATGCACGTGTCTTCTCAAGGATGCTTACCCAACTGATAGTATCTAATAGTTCATTTTAGTTCAAGCTGTTCTTACAATAACAGCCTAAGGAGACAGGTGAATGGGTGGTTTGGTTTCTCTAGCCAGGCAGTCCCTTAGCCCTCTTTTTCACAGAAACATGTGAAAACGTGAAATCATTCATCCGTTACCCAGGGTCGGCTGGTCAGTCCCGGCACTAAAGCTCAAAGGAGACAAAGGAAGGCAGGTCCTGAAAAAATTCAGCAGTCACCTCTGCCAAGTCTTCCTACCTTTTCACTGATGCGCAAATGTCCAGCTAGAAGCGTAACATGTGTTATCTGGGGGACAGTCTTCTCTTTACCAAGCTATGTAAAGACTATCAATACTGCTAGGACTTCAAATGATCTTTTTTCCAATTCACAAAATGTAAGGAACATCTCTTGTTTCTTTCACTCAGCAATGATTCTCCTCACTTCTGGTAAAATAATACTCTGAACTGCTGAACAAAGATATTTCTTTCCCCATTAAACTTGAACTTGGGAGAAGGAAAGGCTAGAAATGTGAAGGCCATTGTACAAGCACAAGGAACCTGAGAATGAGAGCTGGAAGGCGATTAGAGAGGCCAGATCCTGATGACATTGTTTCACCCCCGAAACACCTGTGCCTGGAGCCAGACCTACTTGAGATCCTTTAGTCACATAAAGCAGTGAACCACCTTTTCCCTAAGCCAGTTTGTTTGGGTTTCCTGTTACTCCCAACTGAAATAGTTCTAAATAAAAGAGTATGATGTGGGGTGGGGAGGGAAGGGCTTACTCAGAGTATAAAGAAGAAGGAGGTGTCAAGGAGGAGTGGGGTTTGGGGTTTCATCTTGTTTCCCATTTAACTTACTGTGCCGTAGGCTCCCTTTCCAAGGATCTCACCCTTGGTCCACAGGATGGCTTCTTCATGCTTGAAACTATTTTCAGAAAATATCTTTTCATTGAGAAATTTCTCTTCGTCATATATTCTGAACCCATTACTATGTCTCTGGAAGAATGAGATAAAAAGAAAAGTCGCCATTAAACTCTAAGAGAATAGAAGAGGTGGCTTCCTTCCTTCTAACTTAGGATCAGCTAACTAGAAAAGGCAAATATGCACCCGTAACTAATTACATTGGATGCCCCTTTTACTTAACCCATGCCAACAGCCTCCGATCAGGTCATACCTGAAGCCTTCCCTTTTTCCACTATGAGTCTTTCCCATTCCTCTGCCTACTTTTGACTTGTTGCCAAATGCAAGTGATGGTAGCCAGCTCCTTTGCTATCGTGAACTCTGAATAAATAGCCTTTGTTCTTCACTTACTTCCATAACACATACACACTCAAACACACACATATTTACATAAGCATATACTTACATACACATTTTTACATTTACATGCAAACATACATACAGGTAAGATCCTCTCTCATGCACACACCCACAACCATAACAAGCAAATCTAGTGGTCAAGACCAGGTGCAACAGACTGAAGATCCATGGTTCTGTAGACCCTTGATACTCAAGGGAGACTCTGCAGACAGCTGTATCAACATCACCTGAGTGCTTGTTAGACAGGCAGAATCTCAGCCCCAGACATACTGAATCAGTGTCTGCATTTTAATATGATCCCCAAGAGATTTGCATTCACTGTAAACTGTGAGAGGCCCTGCCCTGGAAGGGAGGAAACAAGTATCTCTTTGTAGAATTCAGATCATGTTTTCCAATTGGTTGATCCTGAGTCAAGGCTCTGTCTTGGCCTCCTTTACCAGTCTTTAGAAATAAATGATGATGGTGATGCAGAGGCATGGTGAAGGCCCTATACGAACAAGACAACCTGCAGGGCACCTTCCTCCCAAATGAGCCCCCAAAGGTCCTTTGGGTTCCTTCTTCCCATCCTTTCACATTTCTCTATCCAAATTGAAAGCTAAGGGCTTTGTGAAAAAAGAAAAAGGTCACAAAAAGTCAGTGTTTTACTCTAGGACTGTCGGGGGTGGGGGGGGTGGCTCTGGATGATTATATTTATTAGCTTGTTAGCCTTTTTTTCCGTTTGAAATGGCAGAGTGGTAGACCCATCTCACTCACACCGGCACCACATACTCCCATTTCCTACCCCAGCTTGAAGGCCTTTCTGAATCACGACCTACCTCCCAGCAGAGACCAAGATCACCATGAAGGCAGAGCTGTCCTTTCAGGACAAGGAATATCTCCACGGTGATTAAGTCATTAAACGTGGGAGGCTGGAATCAGAATGCCTGGCCCCACCACTGGCTGACTGAGTAATAAACTTCAGTTTCCTTATCTGCAACTTTGGGGATTTGCTAATACGTTTAGTATTTATATCACAGAGCTGTTATGAAGCATATAAAAGAGGCAATATGATGCCCCTTGCTCATACATGGTAAGTTCTTAACTAGTTATAGTATAATTATTTACCTAGTATTCTGATCACCTATTAATATTTAAAATATTTATTCCTGATCCTGATACAGTGTGAACTAGATGGTGAGCCACTTCAGAGCCCATGTTAATTTCTTTTTTTAAAATGTTTTTTATTAATTAAAAAATTTATCTTTATTGTTGAAAGTATTACAGATGTTCCCTTTTTTTCCTCCACTGATCCCTTTTTGCCCACACCTGCTCCTGCCCCAGGCATTCGGCACACCATATTAATTTCTTTCTATTCACACACCACTGAGAGCGATGCTTTACTCATAATTATCTCACTGCTGATATTTGTTGATTGAAAATTTAATCATTGTATGAAAACATTAAACTATTTAAGTAGTTTTGTTATAGTATTAACATACCCAACAATTTTCCATTGTAGTGTGGGCTATCAAAATTCCAGAAGTAAAGCAGCATAATAAAAAAATTTCAGCCCAAGAGTTAGAGGACCTGGATTCTAAACTTGCAACAATGAGACTTGGACAAAACTATTTAATTGTTTACACTTTCTGATTCCTCATTTGAAAATAAGGAGTTTGAACCAGATTACCTCAAGGGTCCTTTCCTGCCCCAATTAAATCATTGATTATAATTATACCAACCTGTATTTTGACATTTGTTGTCTCTCCACCCAACTCCTGCATGGTATTTCCTCTCCTACTGAAGATGAGATTTATGTTTTCAGGATCTGTTTCATTTGCCACTATCTGATGAGCATTGTTATCTTTCTCATCAAGAGCTAATAGTTTTGCAGCTAGACAACCTAATAGTTCATCTGTCAATTCTTCATTCTTTCTAGAGTCAAGAATTTCTTGAGAAATTGAATTTGCATCATTTAAAGTTTTTTCAAATGTTTGGTGTGTAATTGACTTATAAGCTAAACTATCACGATCCAGAGAATGTGCCCAATGTCGATACGTTTGAGAAGATGCACTTCCTTGTGTGTCTTGGAAAGAGAGATTCGTAAGTGTTTTAGATGTAGCTATCAAACTATCAAACTCTACGTCATTCGTTAAGATTTGGTTGGCAATTATCTTTCCAAGAGATGCTATATTTTGCTTTTCTTGTGGTACATGTTTGTTGAAACTCTTCTCACCAGGCACTGCCCTGCTGTATTCTGAAAAGGAAAAGGGGGTCTGGTGATGTAGGTCTTCAAGTTCATGCAGATCCCGAAGGCTCGTGGCAAGAATTTGATCGTCAGACATGTCTCCTTCATCGGTGGACTCTTCCATAGAGACTTCTTCAACAATGGACAAATCTGAGACAGGAAGGAATTTGTTCTGTTCAGTGGACTGTTCATGAATCTGAGCAAAGTTTATGGGCTGAACTTTGTTTTTGGAAGACAGATAGTCATTTCCCAAAGACTTCATCTGCCACTCTGATTCTGAAACCCCACCACCATTTTCAGTGTCTTGTAGTTTGCCAGCTACAGCCTTGCAACCCTTTTCTTTGGAAATTAGACTTCTGTGCCTGTGTTTAATTCCAAGCAAAGCCTTTGGGGGTTTAACATGTGGTCTTTTCTGAGAAAGCCTTGTTCTGCTATTGCTGCTCCTCTCGCCGTGTGAAGATGGACATTTACCGTGGATACATCTGCCTGATGGAGCTGAGCATATCTCTCGGTAATATTTGTTTTCATGCCGTTCAGCCTCTCTCATGTGACAATAAACTGGGGTCCCAAACATTTCATAGATTCCAGGTCCATTAGCAGTTGAATTGATTTCTTTGAACATATCACTATACTTAAGATCTAGGTAATTTAGTCTTGGCTGTATGGGTTGAACAGGGATAGGAACGAAAGACTTTTTTACTCCTGGGTTTTTACAGATGCAAGGAGATGTTTGCTTTTTAGGTTTCAGAGCCCAGTAAGTTGATTGCTTCTTTTCTGTCTGAGGCATTCTCCTTTGAAACTTGGGTGATTGCCGAGGTCTGGGCTCAACAAGCCCCAAAGAAGGGAAAACTTGAGTTTTTATGCTGGTTTTATGCTTGGTAGGCTTAATGGAACCATCAATGGAAACCATGAAATTCTGAGGCGTCTTACTGGTCTTGGTTTTTGCATCGAACTTGTTTCTATGGGTTTTCATCATATGCCTGTCATTTTCTTGGTGTGCCCGGATGTGGAAGCTATTGCTATGGAGGGTGCCCTTTCTGTTTTGGAGGCTTGACTTGGCTACCGCTGGTTCCTTGGGAGTCTCCTCTCCAGGGAAAGTGATGTGGATAAGAGGCACTATCCCATTCACTTCAGATTTGCTTGCCTCTGCTACTGATAGTTTTGTATTTGTCTCCACGTTGTTATGATCTTCCAGTAGCCTTTCAATGGGGCTGTTGTCAGGAATTACATTGCACAAACTTTTAAGTACAGTAAATCCTTCTAAAGTATGGTTTGGTTCAGTTAGTTCACCTTTATGCACTGACATACTTTTTGAATCATCTTTATCATTTCTAGTCTCTTTATCCTTGTTTAGAGTTATTTCTGAATGCTGGGCTTCTTGGGACTTGATTGGTATGCTACATCCAACATCTAAATTTTGTTCATAGTTTCTGGCTACGGAACCCTCTGTCTTCCCTGATGAAAGACACCGAGAGTTCTCTTCTTCTGCTTTTCTCATTTCACTGCCAGCGCAGTCCATATCCACTTCCCTGTCTGCAGGAAAGTTGCCTTCCTTAAAATTCTCAAAGGATACCAAAGACTGCCCTTTTTCAAAGTGAGAGATTTGAATTTTGTCACATCCTTCTGCTTCCTTCCATTTCCTATTCTCCTCCATCCCCAGGTGTTGTCTGTGATGGTTAGCCTTCCAAAAAGAGCACATGTTTCTGGACCAAATAGACCTATTGGAGGACCTGAGAGTCTGATCCACAAACACCTTGCATGAGGCTTCCAGTTGCTTGTTTGGTGGTCTTAGCTCATCAGATGGACTAACAGGCTCTGAGAGCTTAGGTTCAAAAGATACAGGACTTGGAATATTCCTCTCTCTCTCTCTTTGATACTTGTGATTTGGGGGGAAAGTAAGAAGACCAGGTCTCATGGGCAAGAATGACAATGGTGGCAGAGGGAACTAAAAGGAAAGAGAGAAAAAGCTAATGAATGCAGAAATATATAAGCATTAACTGGTTTAAAGTAACCCTCAGAGATTCTAAGATTCTCTTTAGGAAGGCCTCCTATTTAGGAAGTACAAAGCTATCATTGAGATAATAACGTTAAAAGCTAAACACACACAAAAAAAATTAAACATAAAAATTAGCAATTTTCTTCCAACTTAAAACAACAACAACACTAAAAGCTCATTCCAGGATTGATTTTTTTTTTTTTTAGAACCAAGGTAAAATAATACTTCTAAAGACCAAAGTTATCATAAAGATTCATAGTTCTATATTTAAAAGGAGAGCTCTATAATGTAAGCATTAAAATATAAGATGAGACATTTCATTTCTCTCCTTTCTCTTTATTTTCCAAAGAATTTATCTAAGGTTAAGAAAAAAATTCCAGCCGAAACCAGTTTGGCTCAGTGGATAGAGCATCAGCCTGCGGACTGAAGGGTCCCGGGTTCGATTCCAGTCAAGGGCATGTACCTTGGTTGCGGGCATATCCCTAGTAGGGGGTGTGCAAGAGGCAGCTGGTCGATGATTCTCTCATCGATGTTTCTAATTCTCTATCCCTCTCTCTTCCTCTCTGTGGAAAATCAAAAAAATATATTTTAAAAAATTCCACTTAGAATAGCTTACAATTGTTGTTAACACTTGAACAATGAATTACAGGCTAACTCAGAATTTGTATCCAGACCACACCTACTCCTCGTTGTTTTTGCTGAACTGTTTTGTTGAGGGTGGCTTTACATGGGCCACACTGTATACTTGAAAGTTAGCAACCCTGACAGTTTCTAATTCTTTGTCCTACAAGTAGTTTCAAACTAAGCTAGTGTTTGTTATTATCAACCTCTAGAGGTCAGTGTAACTCAATATATAATGTTCAGGTTCAGGTCATTAAACTATAAACTCTTAAACTCCATGCTTCTTTTTTACAGAGTCCTTCTCTTGTGCATACAGATTTAATACCTAATTCCATCAGAATATTTACGGACTGGATCTTGCGTGGGAAGTGAGAGCTTTATATTTTCATTTTCATTCTGTTACTACCTGTGTTTAAGAGGAAAGGACCCTGACAGTAGAAATTTAATTAAGCTTTAGAACCTGGCAAGATGCAGCATAATCTCCTAGTTTTATTGATGATTTTCTTCCACCTCTAAAAAATAACAGGATATAAAGACAGATTCTCCCAGTGCTTAAACATCTCCCTAAGATGGAGTCATATTTTTTGGTTAATAAACCCCTTTTACAACAATAAGCAGTACCGAGGCATTTTCTCTAAGGCTCCTGGATACAGAAGAGTTAGACAGTTGAGAGAACTGCAAGACTCTTTCCAAATGCTTCATTGATATATTAGATAACTAGGAAAACCTTTCGGCCACTGGAAGTAAGAATGACCTAATTTCTAGATTTGTTTTAAGAAGTCAAATTTAAATATGAGAGCTCCTCATATCATTATCTAGAGAACAGCAAACACCCTAGAAAAAGAATATACAAGGCAAGGTATAATTTACCCAGAAATTATTTGCTACTCTATAAACTACATGTGAATTGTTGTTTTTCCAAGAAATAACTGTTGAGAATTTTGGTTTTGAATTCTTGGATAGAGTCAGTCACACTAAAAACTAATCTTACCTCAGTTCTTCGGCTGCTGTATTTCTTATGAGAGGCAGAAAACTCTACAACAAGAAAATTTAATAAAAGTTAGATATTCTCACTAGTACAGTGAACACAGTCAGCCTTACACCAAAGTTTGTGTATTAAGTCACCTTGGTGCTGAGGTTTGAAAAAGTCAAAATTGAGAGTTATCCCAGTTGTAATTCATATGGAAGGGGGTATGGTTTGATTACACAAAAACCTTAGGCTACTTCCACTAGAGGGGGATGTTGTTTTATATATAATATTGTTTCTCATACATGGATGTTATATATGTCTTATATATGACATTTGTATATATGTATGTTGATATATGTTTATATATACTTCCTGGCAGAACACACGAGCTCTCTGGGCCAGGGAACAGAGCATTTATAACTCACAGGTCATCGCAGCACCAGTTCCAACAGGGCCATGCACTGAGAGCCCCGTGTTGACCTGTGCATTGCACCACTGGAATGAGCACAGAAATCGCAGCTCAGCGTTTATATAGAGCATTTGGCACTTCAAATCATCTTCCCTTCCCGAGAAATGTAAGCAGCTGACCTAGGAGAAAGGGGGAATGTAGTCTCTGGGCTCTATTGTCCTAGAAGGTGAGCAAGCAGCTCCTGAGGAAACCAGCCTCTGAATCTCTCTGGAGCAACACACTCTCTCTAATTGTAAGACCTGTGTATCATTCAATCGCCATTCAACCTAGTTTCCTAGTACCTTTTGCTCAGAAAGCCTGGGCTGTGCAGAAATGCCAAAATATTCATGTATAATAATCTCTCAGCTGTGTTTGAACTCATACTTGGCATCCATCATAAATTCTGAAGGGGAGCTGTGTGGCGGGGTGGGAGGGGGGTACGGGACTGACTAGGTAGTGTGAAGCCTAGGTGTTGTCTTCTAGGCTTGGTCCCCCACAAGGAAGTTATAAATATGAACCCACTATAGATAGTGGTTTCCGCAGCTTGACGCTAAAGCCAAAAGTGCCAGTGTGTCCACAGTCACAGCAGCTCACACACCTGAGTGAAGTGGGACAGGTGGGGACAGAAGTAGCCTGAAGTCACATGCTCCCGCTAAAGGGCCACCCATTACCAAGTCCTAGTTGATGCTGTCCATGCCAGATGGGGAATCCATCTCTGTGAGAACTCCATTGTCAAGAAAGCTGGAGACTTTATATGAAATTTCCTTCTCTTATCCACCCCCCCCCCTTTTTTTCTTTTTAATGCTTTGAAGGTCTGTGGGCCCTTTTAGCCACAGCTACCACTTGAAATTCCACTTAGAAACAGACCTCTTTAAGCTGTCAGGCAGGTCAAGAAACCATTCTCAGGTGAAAAATGGTCACCTAAAATGAGGATCCCAATTGGAGGGGCTTGGGCCCTCCCCTCAGCCACAGCTGGCCAAGGCACCGCCCCCAATTCTTTATGCATTAATTCAACCAGTGCCTACTGTCCCAGAAGATGGCAACAGAGTTGTGAACAACAAATACAAATTCCTTGCCCTCACAGAGTCCATATTCTAGAGGCTGAGATTTTCTACTGAAAAGATTCTACAACTTAATACCAGAAATACAACTGAATATAATTTATAGTGGGTTCATATATATAACTTCCTGAGTTAAAAAACCTTTCAGGTATTATTATAAATAGTATCCAGTGTTGGTAAGGAATGACATGAGGTGGAAAGGCACTCAAACACTCGGGTGAGAATGCAGACATAAGACCTTTCTGATAGGTGATTTGAAAGCCTTTTAAAATGTATCTAGAATTCCAGCCATGACCGGTTTGGCTCAGTGGATAGAGCAATGGCCTGTAGATTGAAGGGTCCTGGGTTCAATTTCATTGAAGTGCTGGCTTGATCCCTAATAGGGGGCAATTGACTGGTATTTCTCTCATCAATATTTCTAACTCTCTACCCCTTTCCCTTCCTCTTTGTAAAAAATATATATAAAAATCCATTTTTAAAAATGTATATAGAATTCCAGTTAAAAGGTTGAACATCCAAACTTCTCCCCACACTCCTCACAAACCTCACTAAAATGACAGTGAAAATATTTTAAAAGGCATGAATAAGAACAACAAAAGCCCTGAGGACAAAACAGAAGATGAGTAACATCATCAACATTTCGGACAGTGAAAACCGTATGGGTGAATAATCATCGATGATTTGCCAGCTTCCTCTATCTGCTCACTGCCTGCTCAATGGATAGAGCATCGGCTTGGGGACTGAAGGGTCCCGGGTTCGATACCGGTCAAGGGCATGTACCTTGGTTGTGGGCATATCCCCAATAGGGGGTGTGCAAGAGGCAGCTGATTGATGACTCTCTCTCATCGATGTTTCTAATTCTCTATCTCTCTCCCTTCCTCTCTGTACAAAATCAATAAAATATATTAAAAAAAAAAAAAAAAGAAAGAAATGGAGCAATGGATACCCATGAGGCTATGGGCCACTCTTGGGTCTGAAAGGAAGATGGATGTCTTTCATAACATTTTGTATCATCCTGGAGGGAAAACACCAAGCTGACATATTGGAGACAGAAAAACATGCAACAAACATTCCTAATAACTAAATGTCAGTGAAAAGGATGTTTTGGACAAAGCAATGTATGGAAGTTAGGAAACTGAGCAGTGTATTCACAGAAATGTTCTTGAGAATGACTGCATCTTTTTTTTTTTTTTTAAATAAGTTTTTATTGTTCATATTATTACAAATGTTCCTCTCCCCCCCACACACCATTGCTCTCCTCCACCAGGTTCCCACCACCACCCTCTGCCCTTTCCCCACTCTCCATTGTCCTCATCCATAGGTGCACAGTTTATGTTCAGTCTCTTCCCACATCCCCCTCTCCCCTTTTCCCCAAGAATCGTCAGTTCACTCCCCTTCCATACCTCTGATTCTATTATATTCAACAGTTAATATTGTTCATCAGATATTTTTTAATTTCCTTGGTTTTTAGATTCACTTGTTGATAGTTACGTATTTGTTGTTCATAATTTTTATCTTTATTTACTTTCTCTTCCGAAAGAACCTCCTACAGCAATTCATATAATTCTGGTTTAGTGTTGATGAACTCCTTTAGCTTTTTTTTATTAGTGAAGCTCTTTATCTGACCTTCGATTCTGAGTGATAGCTTTGCTGGATAGATTATCTTTGGCTGTAGGTTCTTACTATTCATCACCTTGAATATTTCTTGCCATTCCCGTCTGGCCTGCATGGTTTCTGTTGAGAAGTCAGCTGACAATCGTATAGGTGCTCCTTTATAGGTAACTACCTTCTTTGCTCTTGCTGCTTTTAATATTCTCTCTTTGTCTTTTGCTCTTGGAATTTTAATTATGATTTGTCTTGGTGTGGTCCTCTTTGGATTCCTTTTGTTTGGAGTTCTGTGTGCTTCCTGGACTTGTAAGTCTAATTCTTTCCCCAGGTGGGGGAAGTTTTCTGTCACTATTTCTTTCAGTATGTTTTCGATATCTTGCTCTCTCTCATCTTCTGGGACCCCCATAATTCTGATGTTGGTTCGCTTGAAGTTGTCCCAGAGGTTTCTTACAATATCTTCAATTTTCTGGATTCTCTTGCCTTCTAGCTTCTGTGGAGGAGTGTCTTCTGGCTCTTTATGTTCCAAATCTTTGACTTGATTCTTGCGATCTTCCATTCTGTTTTTAGGACTCTGTATTATATTTTTTTATTTCAGACAATGTATTCTTTATTTCTTGTTGATCCCTTATCATTTCTTGTTGATCCCTTATCATTTCTTGTTGACTCCTTATTAATTCTAGTTGATCTCTTTTCATATCCTCATAGGTCTTATGCATCTTTTCTAGGAAATTCTTGAAAAACCTTATAAGCGTAGATTTGAACTCTATATCCAGTCTCTTTTTGTCCTCCATTTCTTTCGTTTATAATCTATTTCGTTGTCGCATTTCGCAGTTACAGATGGAACGGGATTTCAGGGTGGAGCCTACAGCCTTGGCTTCTGTCAGTCCCGCCCTATGCGGCTCCTGAGTCTCAGGGTCCTTCAGTACTCGCTGCAAAGTGCCTCTGAGAGATAGGTGCCCTCGATTTTCGCCTGCTGCCAAACAGTCTATGCTCTTCCCCAATGAGCCTGGTATTGGGATTCAGTTCAGTTGGAAGTGGAATTGGAGGTGGCTTTCAGAGCAGACTGGAGCCCCTGTCTCCTTCCGGCCAGGGCAATCCCGCGGCACAGCCAACCGTCCCCTCTCTGCGGGCAATGTGAGCGCCGCCGGGACCTCCTTTCGCCACTTCCCCGGGTTCCACCTTACAGCTCAGCTCCCTATGGATGAGCCTGGGTCCCAGGGGGCTGGCCTAGAACTGGGGTTCAGAGCAGTCAGAACTTGGGCCCAACGCAGTCGGAGCTTTATCTCCTTCCTGCTAGGGAACGCCTGCCAGCCAGGCACTCGGCCTCCCTCCTCTCCGGCTCCGTCCTCTCCGTGCTCCGAGTGTCTCCGTACCTTGGGCTTTTACAGCTCCTCTGTGCTTCCTTCTGGTTTTCTCCTTGCTTCTCGTTGTAGAATTTCCAGTCAGTCGACTTTCCTGTAGTTCTGGGTAATGTCCATTTTATATTTTAGTTGTATTTTATTGAAATTGTTGTGTGCAGCTGCGGCTAGGTGTTTACCTGGGTGCAGCCATCTTGGATCTTCTCATGACTACATCTTTACATGATTGAAGACTGTAGCAACTATGAGAAGATAACTGAAGACTGTATCAACTATGAGAAGAAAAGTTAAAAACATACATGTTTCTTTTAAATTTATAATCCAAGTTACTAAAGCTTAAGGCTACAAGAGCTTCCTGGAGATGCTGCATAAGGATCATGGCTCCTATATGAAAACCTAAAATACTACAAATCGATTTTAAAAGAATCCCTCCCATCTCAAGTGGCAAGTCATCTCCAAACTGAGCCGAGGAAATGTACTATTTAACCTCCTGGAAAGTGCTTGGGATACAACCGAGCATCTGAGAACTTGGCTTTGGGAGTCAAAGGCAACTTCAAGGACTGCTTGGGAGGGGCCAACATTTGTTTATGTTAATTAGGTCTTTCAGGGTTCATGATGTGAATTATTTCAAATGTTACTGAATTATTCTCTGCCCTCATCCTGGGGAAGAGATGCCAAGTGAGCTTGAGGAGGCTGCCAACAGAGGACAGCATCGCACAAGGGGCAGGAGGAGACCGCAGCCTGGCTAACACCGCCTCACCCTCACCCTGGGGAGGTTGCCAGGGACAAGAGGAAAAAGACAGCCACAGGGCAGCGTGTCGTAGTGTTAGACATGGAAGTCAGAAAACTGCGGAGAGAAATGGCAGCCGTTTGAATAAACATTTAATTTAAGAAGTTTATAGGTGGAATATGATAGACAAATGTGATGCTATGGTGACTAGTTTCTGACTCAAAATTTTGCAAATACCTTGTGGTCTGTTCAATGCAAGGGCTCTTATAGATATGACAGGATACCATATGTGGAATGGGTCGTTGTTTTGGAAAATTCCAGACTTATGGCCTCATGGAATAAAAGACTGGGACTGAGAGCTTTAGTGCCTTGTTCAGCCCCCAACTTCCACTCAAGGCAGGATCTCTGGGTCAGCAGCAGATGGACAAATGCTTAGATCTGAAAGGGAACAGATCCCTGTTGCTGATGGAAGATTCTGTGAGGAAAGAAATGAGGTGGGGAGTGGGGTGCTGGAGGCTAAAGCAGCTAGCATATTAATGCAAAAAGAAAATATTGGAAGGCCAATGGACTTTGATATTCAGCTGGGCTGAAAATCAATGGCTCAAGGCAATTTTCTAACCTGATAATCCTTATACTGTTCACCAAACTTTATCTTTGATCTGCTGTATGCATTGCTAAAGGGAAAATGTGTATTGAAGTAAATAAAAAAGCGGACCAGGCGAGAAGTCCTGTGCCTCTTCAAGAAAGAGGTCTCTACCTGGCTCTCAAATGCCTTCTAAATTCATAGTTTTTGTACAGCATTTTCATTTGTGTGTCAGCCCCTCTTTCAGATCCTGAACCCCGCTGTCAAGGTTGCAGCAGCGAGGCGGGGGTGGGGGGTGGGTGTTGAGAGATAATATTTTTTTAAAAAAAGGAAAGGGCCAGAGAATGGCTAGCTGAGATGAAGTGGGGTAGAATAAAGAAAAGGGACAGCTGAAACTGGTTTGGTTCAGTGGATAGAGCATCGGCCTGCAGACTAAAAGGTCCCAGGTTCGATTCCGGTCAAGGGTATGTACCTTGGTTGCGGGCACAACCCCAGTAGGGGGTGTGCAAGAGGCAGCTGATGGATGATTCTTTCTCATTGATGTTTCCAACTCTCTATCCTTCTCTCTTTCTCTCTGTAAAAAATCAATAAAGTAGAAAAGAAAAGAAAAGAAAAGAAAAGAAAAGAAAAGAAAAGAAAAGAAAAGAAAAGGGACACAGAGGGGTGCAGAGGGATGCCTGTTTTGGCAGAGCAAGTTGATAAGACTCATTATTCGGACATGGGCAAAGGATAGACTTATGAGTGGTTTTTCATTCCCTTTGTGCTTTTCTGTGTTTCTGAAGTTCTCCACTGAGCACTTCAGAAATTAGGGGGAAAACTAAATAATCCACATTCTCTTTGTAAACACCTCAAGGACAGAAGCCAAGATACCTTCTGTCCTGGGTTGCCAATCTCGTCCATCACCACTCGGATCTCCTCCTTCTTTAACCAGTATGGAATGGCTGCAGTCATCATCTTGGTCAAATTCCTGAAATATAAAATAGGAACTCAGTTATTCAGTGTCTTTCTTTCTTTCTTTCTTTCTTTCTTTCTTCCTTCCTTCCTTCCTTCCTTCCTTCCTTCCTTCCTTCCTTCCTTCCTTCCTTCCTTCCTTCCTCTCTTTCTTTTTTGGCAGAGTGAATGTTGACTTTTCTAGGCTAAAGTTTCACACTGCAGACTCCTTTTAAATGAAGTATTTAGGACTAAAATAATGAGAAAGTGTCTGCCCCAAGAGCACCAGGCTCAGACAGACACGGATGTGATGAATTACATAATAAAAAATGAAGATCGAAGCTGAAAACACAGAGATACATAGAAACTCAATATTTTATCCAGGCTTCTACACTGCTACAAATTCCCTCTGGGTGGGTAACTGGAAAGAGTCCTTTGGCTGCAGTCACAGTGAGCAACCCCAAACGAACATGGTCTTTTCCGTCTGCCTCATTGGGGCAATGCTTACAAATGCGGAGAATGGAAATCCCTGCCCCATATGGAAGCTGCCAAAGGACTGATTTCACTCTGCCAGCTTTCTGACCCAATCATGGCATGACTTTGTTTTACCCTCTAGGGCAGTGGTTCTCAACCTTTCTAATGCCTCAACCCTTTAATACAGCTCCTCATGTTGTGGTGACCCCCAACCATCAAATTATTTTCGTTGCTACTTCATAACTATAATTTTGAACAGGTTGAGAACTGCTAGCAGGGTCTCCAAAGACCATCGGAAAACACAGATATTTACATTACAATTCATTAACAGTAGCAAAATTACAGTTATGAAGTAGCAACGAAAATAATTTTATGGTTGGGGGTCACCACAACATGAGGAACTGTATTAAAGGGTCGTGGCATTGCCAAAACCAGTTTGGCTCAATGAATAGAGCGTCGGTCTACGGACTGAAAGGTCCCAGATTTGATTCTGGTCAAGGGCATGTAATAGGTTGTGGGCACATTCCCAGTAGAGGGTGTGCAGGAGGCAGCCGGTTGATGTTTCTCTCTCATTGATGTTTCTAGTTCTCTATTCCTCTCTCTTCTCAGTAAAAAATCAATTATATATATATATATATATATATATATATATATATATATATATATATATTTTTTTTTTTTTTTTTTTTTTTTTTTAAAGGGTCGTGGCATTAGAAAGGTTGAGAACCACTGCTCTAGGACATAATCATTATGCTGAAAAACATGTTTGAGAATCAACTTGACTTATAAAAAGTTCTCCAAACTCTCTAAAGAAGAAATGCTTTCTTGTTGGAATTCACTGATATGGGTAGGTTCCCTCATAGAAGTTGCTGCTGGTGATTTTGCCCTTTTGAATGCCTAGAACAGTGACAGATGCAGATAGTGGTTACAATAGCCCATCACAAGCTGGCCATGATCATGAGCCCCTGGCTTCTCTGATCTGGGTGACCAGCTGTCTAAAGAGACTGTTGGATGAAAAGGCTTTTCTCTGTGGGCGGGTGCCTGATGGACAGGCAGGCAGAGTATCGCAACGCTCTGCCATTCATTACTTGCCCAGGGAGCCTTTATATTTTCTCACTTTGCTCATTTTCATTATCATAGAAAATAATGAAAGTAAAACCCTTATTTATAACTGCCACTAACAATATTTTAGCTATTCAACCATAATAATTTAGTTGCCATACCTTACTTTTATGCAGCAAGTCACGCTTTTAAAAGTACTTTCTACTTTCTGGCAAAGGTTAGGTACCCCACTCAGACTGCCCTGGTTGCCAATGGCAGATGAGAGACCTGGACTGGTTCCCCCTGATCCTAGACTATAGTCAATTTCACTGCTCATGCTTCTCTGCATTTCAAAAATCCTACCACTACCTTTGCAAATTCCTTCTTCCTCCCATCCAGTTTACAAAGTGGGGAGGGAGATCCTCTTTTTAGAATATATGGGAATACACAATAGTCTTTTTTTAAAAGTAGAAGAAAAATCACCTATAATCCTACAAATAAATAGCAAACGTTGTTAACAACTGTTATTGACATTTGAAAACATTAATTTAATTATATTTCCTTTGTCTTTTTCTAAGAATTTAAGTATATAGTTGCATCCTATAATTTAATATCTAAAGATAAGCATGAATTACACAGCAATTTACTAAGCAAATGTCATTTTAATGGAATTTAAATTTTCTTTTCATCAAAAAAATACCTATAGGGGTCATAATAGCCCATGAGTCTTATAACATTAGCACTATATGCTTAGTAGGCAGTTTTTAATTCTTCTTACGTATTACATACAGTGCTGGGAACACCTGTGCAATTAATGTCCTAATTTTGCATTATTTCTTTAGAGTAGATTCCTAGATATGGAATTATTGATCCAAAGAGTATGAAAATTTTTAAGATTTTTTTTACACATACAGTTTAAAAAGTAAAGTTTACACTTCACCAGCTGTGCATGAGTGTGCTGCATTCCATCTTCTTCCTTATCAATTATCATCACTTTTCATTTGTAGTGATGCAATATGTAGAATCGGTTATCTTAGTATTGTTCGAATGTGCATACTTTGACTAGTAGAAAAGTTGGAGATAGTTTCAGATGTTTATTGACCACTGAATTGTTTTAGTATATATAATTTTTGTTCAGATCCTTACTCTACAACACTATAAGACCTCAAAATATTTTCCTACCATTTCACATAATGACAATGATTCAATGAAATTTTTGTGCTAACCTTGGAAAAGAGCACATTTTTAACATTTGGAAGTGTTAAAAATACACCTGGTTCTCATGCCAGGTTTCTGTGTTGATTAATGGGCTGTGATCAGCCTCATCTGCTCAGTTCATCAATAGTTGGTCCTTGAGGAAAAGCTGGAAGATGCAGTGTGTGGGAACACCTACTTACGAAATCTGTAACAATGACTAGCATTTCCATATGTAGTGCCAGACACTGTTCTATGCACCTACACATATGAACTAATTTAATCCTCGCAACTAACAGCAGGAACTATTTTCTTCTTTCTAAATGAGTCCCAGAGAAGTTAAGTTACTTATCCCAGGTCACATAGCTAGCCAGTGGTATTGCCAGAAATCACACTTAGACTCAGAAGTCTGATCCAGACCTTTTAACAACTCTGCTTTCTTGCTAATATGAAAAGTTCAAAACAGAGAATCTCAACAACAAAAAAACAGAAAGAAGATAAAAATAACAGTGAGCAAAAACACTTTTTAAAAGGATACTCAAACCTAATTTATAAGTTTTGCACTGGAAAGAATAAAAGATGTGCTACCTACAAGTGCCTGATAAAAATGTCTTTTTAAAAATAAGCTCAGAAACCATAAGCATTGCAAACAAAAGGGATGTAGAGAATGATGCCTATTTTGAAGGCTTTCATGGAAGCGAAGATTCCTGCAGAAAGAGCTCAGGATTTTCTATTTCCTTTCAGAATGCTAAATCTGAAAGGCTTAGGATGTGCGCAGGTGCCACAAAGAAGAGAATGGAAGTGATGGCATTCAGTTGTGAGGTGAAGAGAGAAAATGTTAGACTAACATCCCAGACACAAATGGATTTCATAAACCATTGACAACAATGCAAGAGGCCACAACAGGCTAGACATAGGACGTTCTCATCCACAAACAGCAGAATGCTAAACCCACAGGAGAGAAAAAGGCATAGAAATCATCCATAATTAAATTTGGAAAGAAGATTCTTCTTAGATGAAAAAGATTGGGAGAGTCTGTAAAGAGCCTAAAGAGTGAGCTTACAAGCAAGGCAGCTGCTTCTGTTTGTCAATTATAAAGACCTCGGCAGACAGCCGAAAGGAAAAGAGAGCTTTCACTCAAAGAAAAGAAGGGAAGGATGACTTTCGGTTTTGCAATTGAAGCCCTAGCGAAAGCGCTAGGGAAGAAAAGGCAATTCAACAGTGAAAGAGTCAGTTTCTCAGAGATGAGTTCAGAGTTACTTTAATCATAATAAGAAAAAATATAGAAAGAAAGTTCAATAAACATTTTAAAGTTTCGCACAAAAATGGTAATAGCACGAAGGGATTTTTTGCCTTTTCAAAAAGAAAATTGCTTAAATATACCATACAAAAGCAAAAGCAGCCCAGCCGGCATGGCTCAGTTGGCTGAATGTCAACCTAGGAACCAAAGGACATGATTCAATTCCCCCGTTAGGGCAAAAGCCCAGGTTGCAGGCTGGATCCCCTGTAGGGGGCGTGCAGGAGGCAGCTAATCAAAGATTCTCTTCATTGATGTTTCTATCTCTCTCTCCCTCTCCTTTCCTCTTTGGAATCAATGAAAATATTTTTAACTAAAAGTAAATCTGTTTTGTTTATCAATTTCTAATCTATGACACTTTCAAGATTGGTCTCTAGGTATTTTATATTAGTTCTGATCAAATAATTGAATCGGTACCCCTCCCCAGGAACTGACCTTTAGGCCACTTCACAATGGGTATTCCACTTGCTTAGACCACATTCCACTTGCTAAGGCCATTATCTCTCCCCTCCGGACTTTCCCAGAGTCCAGACCTGCAGAGAGAAGTCTCCTCCCAGAAAAAGCCCGCCCAGAGTCCTCTGACTCCCCATCTTTGGGGACTGGTGCCATTTGGGGGCTCAGCCCATCTGGGTATGCAGATGACCTAATAAATTTATAACCCCTTACCACTTTGACCTCGAGCGTTCCTCCTTGGGTGACCCTAACATTTTATTTCAATTACTACTGTATTTCCCTGAAAATAAGACATCCTCCGAAAATAAGACCTACTTACAGGTTTCCTTCTGAGTGAAATATAAGACATCCCCTGAAAATAAGCCCCCCTCCCCCCTAAGGCTAAACACGAGAGATTTGGTCCACTGATTCTGAAAGAAATGGAGTCACAAGAAATTCACCAGGAAATTCAGGAATTGGATTGTTATGATGATGTTCCAGAAGATGATGACATGATTGTCATTGAATAAATGAGTAAATTCTTGATACTGTAGGATTCACAGTTTGTCTGGTTTGTGTTGACAACTACCGTACAACCGTAATAAATTTTCTTTATTTTAATTTAACAATAAATGTATACCGTATTCTTCTTCATGGAAAAATAAAACATCCCCTGAAAATAAGATCTACCGCATCTTTGGGAACAAAAATTAATATAAGACACTGTCTTATTTTCGGGGAAACAGGGTATGTTATGTTAGTAACCAAAACCAATGCAACCTTCAGTTCTGTGACAAAATCCCCCACACAGCAGGTTTTCTCAGCCTCAGCGCTACTGATGTTTGTGGCTGGTTAGCTCCCTGCTGTGGGATCTGCCCTGTACATAGTAGATATTTAGTAACATCCCTGGCCTCTGCCCATTAGATGCCAGTAGCACCTCCACCCCAGGTGTGACATCAAAAATGTCTCCAAACATTGCCCAATGCCCCTTGGGGGACAAACCACTCCCTCTCGAGAACCACTGTACTGAAGGAATTTTAAAAAGAAATACTCTAGCCGGGACCAGTTTGGCTCAGTGGATAGAGCGTCAGCCTGCGGACTGAAGGGTCCCGAGTTCGATTCCGGTCAAGGGCATGTACCTTGGTTGCGGGCTCATACCCAGTGGGATGTGTGCAGGAGGCAGCTGATTGATGATTCTCTCTCATCGATGTTTCTAACTCTCTGTCCCTCTCAATTCTTCTCTGTGTAAAATTAATAAAATACATTAAAAAAAAAAAAGAAATACTCTAACCTGTTTAGAAAAGTTATAAATGAACAAAGGTTAGATATTCATGTGTTATTAAAAGTTTTCATTCTACTTCATCCCATCCCATGTCACAGAGGAATCCTTATTTAGCCATTTCTGTATTTTAATTTTTAATCATTGCAAACAAATTAATCTCAACCTTTTAATTTTCATCAAGTTTTACATTCTATTCTAAGAAAACTGCTTTTATAAACCTTTAACCATCACCCTATACCACCCTCCCTGCCCTTCCAGCCCACCTAGTTAGTAGTCTGTTTGCTAAGTCATAAAATTCCTGTGCATTTACTTACATAACAACATCCGCATACACATGGTATTGTTGTGGTTTTTTAAAAATATTTTTTTCTTCATTTCAGAGAGAGGAAGGGAGAGGGAGAGAGAGATAGAAATATCAATGTTGAGAGAAAATCATCAATTGGCTGCCTCCTGCACACATCCCACTGGGGATCCAGCCCAAAACCCAGGCATATGGCCCTGACTGAAATCGAACCCAGGACCCTTCAATCCACAGGCTGATGCTCTGTCCATTGAGCAAAACTGGACAGGGATTGGGGTTTTCTTTTTGATGTAAATAGTATCACACTCTGTATATAAATTTAACCAAGGCATAATGTTCTGTCATATGGATATACCATAGTGGGTTTTTCTTCGTTCATTTTAATTTGTATCAAGCTTGACATGGTTTTTTTTTAAGGTTGACATTATTAAAAAGCCAGATAATGGTAAGAGACTTATAACAAAAAGGTCATCATTTTGCTTACTCACCCTTTCCAGCCCTTTTCTTTAGGTATTTTCTTCCATATTTCTAGAAAACATTTACTTTGCTATCTCTTGAGAAAGCAAAAGGAGACATTATCTACTGACTTATTGTTATCAGAATTGACAATAAAAATATGCATAATAAAATGGAGTAAATATTAATACATATCTATCAGCAATTACTTTAAATGCAAATGGATTAAATGCTCCAATCAAAAGACATATGATGGCTGAATAAATTACAAAACAAGCCCCAATTACATACGCTTTCTACAGAGACTCACTTCAGGTCAAAAGACACACATAGACTGAAAATAAAGGGGTGGGAAAAGATATTTTATGAAAAAGAAGTAGCTAGGGTAGCAATACTTATACCAGACAAAAGAGACTTGAAAACAAAGGCTATAACAAAGAACCCAGCAATTACACTTCTGGGTATTTATTCAAAGAAACCCAAAACACTAAATGAAAAAGACATATGAATCTCCATGTTTACTGCAGCATTATTTACAAAAACCAAAATATAGAAGCAACCTAAGTGTCAATGAATGGCTAATGAAGTGATACATATGTACAATGAAATATGATTCAGCCATAGAAAGAAATAAAATCCTGCCATTTGCAACCGCATGGATGGACCTAAAGTGTATGTGCTGAGTAAAATACGTCAGACAGAGAAAGACAAATACCACCTGATTTCACTTACATTGGAATCTAAAAAAACAAATAACAACAAGCAGTCCTGAAACAGAGAACATTTTGATGGTTGTGGGGGATGGGTAAAAAGAGGGGAAGATTCAGATGTACAAATTGCCAGTTATAAAACGTCACAGGGGCCCTAACTGGTTTGGCTCAGTGGATAAAGAGTCAGCCTGCAGACTGAAAAGTCCTAGGTTCGATTCTGGTCAAGGGCATGTACCTTGGTTGAGGGCACATCCCCAGTGGGAGGTGTGCAGGAGGCAGCTGATCAATGTTTCTAAATCTCTCTCTTCCTTCCTCTCTATAAAAAAAAAAAATCAATAAAATATATATTTTTAAAGTCACAGGGATGTAAAGTACAACATAGTCAGTAATATTGTAATTGTGTGTGATGTCAGATGAGTGAGATTTATCAGGGTGATCACTTCATAAGTTATAATAATATCTAATCACTGGGTTGTTCACCTGAAACGAATACAATATTGTACATCAACTCTAATTGGAAAATAAAAATTTTAAATGGTGAAAAAGTGGCCTGGCTGGTGGCTCAGTTGGTTGGAGAATTGGCTCATACACCAAAAGGCTGCGAGTTCAACTCCCAGTCAGGTACAAGACTACATTTCAGATTCCATCCTGCTCAGGGGTGCAACTGATCGATGTTTCTCTCTCCTTCTTTCCCTTCCTCACGCTCTACAAATCAATAAAAACAGATCCACAGGTGAGGATAAGAAAAAAAAAAGGATGAAAGAAGTAAGCCAAGTTTTTCAACTAGCAGAAAAATATCTGTGAATCATATATCTAAAATATATAAAGAATTATTTAAACCCAAAAATAAGAAAATGAACAATCCAATTAGAAAATGGACAAAAGACTTAGATGAGTCATGCTGATGGCAAAGAAACACATGAAAAAATGTCTAGCGTTGGTCATTAGGGAAATACAAATTAAAACTACAATGAGATACCACCACACAGTTATGATAAAAAATATTGACAGTACCAAATGTTGATAAAGTTGTAAAGAAACTGGATCTCTGATTTATTGCTGGTGGGAAGATAAAATAGGAGAGTCACTCTAGAAAGTCTGTTTTTTAAAGTTAAACATATATTACATACATGTGATCTAATAATTGGACTCCTGGGCATGTATCCCAGAGAAATGAAAACATATGTGTGTACAAAAATCTGTACCCAAATGTTCATCATAGCTTTATTTGTAATAGCCCCAACTGGAAACAACCCACATGTCTCTCAGTGGGTGAATGGCTAAATAAACTTGGGGACATCTGTATCACAGAATATTACTTAGTCATCCAAAGAAACTATTGACACTCACAGCTTGGATCTATCAGCATATATGCACCAAGCTGAATAGAAAAATCCAATCTTAAAAGTGTAAATATATGTTAATTCCATTTATATGACATTTCTGAAATTAAAAAATATATAGATATGGAGAACAGATCAGTGGTTGCCAGGAGTTACAGAAGAGGTGTGTGTGTGTGTGTGTGTGTGTGTGTGTGTGTGTGTGTGTGTTTGGTTATAAAGAGGGTAGTAGAGGGAATTACTTGTGACAAAAGTTTTATATTTTGATTATGTGAATAAATGTCATAGAACACTGCACACAGACATACACAAACAGAAAAAAAGAGAAAGGCATGCATGCAAAGACTAGTGAAACCCAAGTAAGGACTGTAGTCTAGTTTATTGCATTGAGTCAATGTTATTTTCCTAGTTTTGACAATGCACTAAAGTTAGAACAATAGTTCTCACTGGGGGAAGTTGGTGAAGGACACAGAAGACCACTATGTACGAGTTCTTGTGAATCTATATTATTTCAAAATAAAAGGTTAATTTTTTTTTCTGTTTTCATTTTCTTTGTTGTTTGGGGATGATTTTTGAAAGGAGAAAGGGACTGAAACGTGTTTACTCCACCAACTCCAATACTCATTATTTTTAAATAGTATAGTCCATACCTCATTAACTTTTAAAAATAAACAATTTTGTAGACATATTTTTTCTGGTCAATAAAATACTGATTAGTAATATTTTTAAGTCTTTGGGTTATGTTAATTTTTATAAAAACTCAAAAGGTACGAATAAGGATACCGTGTAAAGTACATCTACACCTTCCCCATAGACAACCACTGTTACTAATTTGTTGTAAATTCTTGGGTACCATTCCACAGTTTCCTATGGATCACCATGTGAGCTACTTGTATTGTTACTATAGTAATAGGAACCTTTGGTGGAGTCCTTCATCACAGGCAGCGGGTGACAGCTAGAGACAAGAGGAGGCATCGCCTTTGTGGTACCCTGTGATGAATGTGACATGATCAGATTCATGATCTTCTCCTCTTCCACATTAACATCCATAAAGACAAGCCACACTTCATTATTTAGTGTGGATGTCACAATATTTTGTGGTATTAGGCGCACACATACACACACCCAATGTATGAGACAAAGAGTTGACTAGCTAATTACTGCTCTGAGATAAAATTCCAAGAATACTGTCTTATTTACTGTGCTTTAAATTTCTCTATGATTACATTAAAATATAATTGTAGTAATTGCTGTAAGATATTCAAGCAACACAAATGAAGCAGTAGATGAAGTATCCATTCTTCGTTGGCTGTTTCTTTAGGAGAGCATCTTACCTCACTGCTGCTGACACTTTGCAAGAGAACATTTTGGTTTTGGGCAACTGTCATATCAGTTGGAGAAGAGTCTGTATCGTGACAAATGTCAAGCAATGATTCAGCATGTCTGTCTGCCAAAAGAAACATAATGTGTTTTTATAAGACTCATCTCAATTTCACAGGAAGATTTAGAACTTGGTTCTAACATCAGTTCCATTTTGTCAAAGATTTTTCTAGGATAGTGATCTGGGATCCTGATGAAGTTTCAGGGAATAATTTTCACAGGAAAACATGAATCCACAGAATAAATGAAGTTTTGTTTGTTGTTTTTTTTTTTAAATTAGGCAAAGTTGCCAAGTGAAACCGCTAACAATGGGCTGGAAATTATATTTGCTTAATAGTTGTGAAAGAGAAAAACATTTAGCTACTGTGAGCACACGTCCCATCTAGCACTGAAGCCACGTTAAATTGACATGGTTCGGACACCCATCAGTGAACTCCCCGTTAGCTCCTGAGGGGCACTGTTCTCATATTCATCCCCCTCCTGCCAGCCTGCCTTCTCCAAATAAGCATGGGCTCTTGGATGACAACATCTTCCTCTTCCAATGGCTCTTCTGTTTACTCATCTTGTAACTGAAACAAGACTGAACACGTGATCTATACTCAGACCCTCTATTTCTTCATCATATTTTCCTTCTTTACTCTTTGAAATCGATCTTCTGCTTCTATCCTGTCATTGAAAGTTCCCACTTCCTACCATATCTGCTTTGTAAGCTCCTTTCTAATTTGATATTGTTTCTATTTATTCCTCTGGCAACTCTCTCCCAATTCTCCTATGAGCACACCACTCTCTAACGATGGGGGCACCTCCTCACCTCAGTTCCCCACAATTTCTCCCCATCAGCAGTCCTTCAATGATCTTGTCCACTCACAGGTCCTTATGATCTCTGTTGTGTAGAGAACTCCAGGACTAATATATCAACCCACCCTTTCCCAGAAGCCCCATCCTACAGAAAAATGCTACTTGAAAGTGCCCAGGTTCCATCAGTACAATTTTTTTTAGAACACTTTACCTTCAGTATCCTCACAAAACCAGTGTTCTTCTAGTTTGTTGATTGTATTCCCATCTTCCCACATCCCAGGACTGAACCTTCAAAGGCATGTTTGACTCAACTCTTACTCAACTTTTTTCCTTTGTGTCTTCACTATCAACTTTACATCACAAAGTTCTGTGAATTCTTCTTTCATAATATCTATTAAATGCACCACATTAACAGACCACTATATCACCTTGCCCAAAGACTCTTTTCCTAGTACTTTCTACCATATACTTTAAAAAATATATATTATATTGATTTTTTTTTTTTTGAGAGGAAGGATAGAGAGTTAGAAACATCGATGAGCTGCCTCCTGCACACCCCCTACTGGGGATGTGCTCACAACCATGGTACATGCCCTTGACCGGAATTGAACCTGAGACCCTTCAGTCCACAGGCCAACACTCTATCCACTGAGCCAAACCAGTCAGAGCCACTACATACTTTATTAATAGAGTTCCCTGCCATGAGTCTATTTCTTTGAATCCATCCTACACAATAAAGAACAGGTTAATTTTCCTAAAATATGGCTTTCATCATTCTCTGGCTCAAAATTCTTTAATAATTCTATTTTATTGGGGGGGGGGAGATATCATTAGCTTTACATTTAATGGGTCCTCAATTGACACACTTTCTTTATGGATCTGATGTTATGTGTTCATTTTCCCTGACATGAACTTCCAGTCTGGACTCCTGCTTGGCCCTGAGATAACCCCACTCCCTTATAGCATGGTGCCTCTGCTCCACAAAATCAAATCCCATCATTTTTCAAGGACCGGACTGAGTCTCACCTCTTCCACAAGACCCTCTTAGGATACCCTTGTTTTGGATATACCAGAGCTTCAAACAAAAAGTCAATTAAACAATAAAGTCAAGCAGGTTACACAAAATCATGTATTGCTCAGTGGCATTTTCCCCCCTCTCCCCCCAATATACCTTTTGCTGTGGCTGTCACCATGTCTTTGCTCAAGACTATCTTTCCCCATCTATATCTAACCTCTTTTTTTTTTCTTCCTACCATATCTCAGCCAGCATCCAAGAACCACCATAAGTCCTTTCCCCTTTCAAGTTCCCAATAAGTTCTTTCTCCTCTGACTTATGTGATATGTCCCTGACCATATGGAGCACTTTCCAAAGTTTGGACCATATCTTAGACTTTTGGATCCCTCAGAGAACCTAGTCATGGGCTTTCAGTCACTGCTCGATAAATAGTTGTCAGGTAGATTTCTTAAAATGGATCCATCAAATACATGTAGAAAAAGAAAGATTTCTCGTAGGACCTTTATATTTGGGGAAATTTGAAAGTGGACTAGGAATATTTACCTGGTTTGGGCATAGAATTCATTAGCATGTCCAATAACTGCTGTTTCTTAAAACTCTTTATTTGTGACACATAATGTATTGCTGATTTTCCACTAAAATCACAGAGCTTAGGATCTCTAGGAGAAATAGAATCAACATCAAAGGTTATTAGTTAAATCTGTTTTAAAAAAAGAAAAGAAAATAAATATGGAAGGAAAAATATTGACATCAAATAAATGAAGGCAATCTTACATAGTTTTGGGGTAAAAAATTACTTCAAAATGTATAAAATAGTGACAATTTTTTTATAAAACATTATATTTGCAGAAAATTTTTGAACATAAACTTTCATAATTTTTTAGTGATGCATAAATTCAGTAAATATAAAAACATATTGATAAACCATTGTTTTATCATTCCAAATAGTTGATTCTTTGTCTTTTCAATGTTTTAGTTAACTGGTAACCTTCTTGATATCTTTTTTTTTCTAATAATAACACCTAATCCTTTTATCATTCTAAATAGTAGAATGACATAATGTCTCTATAAAATTAAGCTGATATGCTCTTGGTTGAGTGGAATGATCTTGTCCTAAAATCACTCTCTGTGTGGTCATTTCATTTTTCTTTCTTTGCTCTATGGTTTTTAAGCCCAACTGACTGATCTTAGGGCTTCTTGCAACAGCACTAATATCCTCTCTGTGCTGTACTGAATCCTAACATCAGCTCAGAGAGATCCAGAGGGTAAATGATGAGTACCCTATCAAGAGGTCATAGTGACAGAAACAATGATAAAACTTCATTAGTCATGTCCTGGGACAAAGAGAGAATTGATCATGGTCTCCAATCTAATACCTTTGAATTTGAATCTTTTGTTTTGGGTACTGTTTTATGATCCAAAACAATATTCTGTTATGACCTTTTCTCCACCAAGGTTATGATTCAAAAGAAAGCATAAGATCAAGGGTCAGGCGACTGTTACTACCTGGATAAATGGCAAGCACTAACTTTTAGGGACCTCAGTTTGTTCATCTGTCTTCAGAGTGTTTCTCCTTTGATCTCCTGTATTCTGGACCCTCTTCAATAGAGGACTATTGAACACCCTCTCTGGGGTGGTATCTAGTAACCTCCATTTTTAACAATCTCCTCAGATGTTTCTCAACACTAAATTCTGAGGTAGCGTCAAACTTCCATCTTCAACCTCTAATACTAATGTTTTAGAAATAGCTCACATTCTAAAGTATACTTTTCTTTTTGAAGACCCCTTTTCCTTTATTTTTTCCATAACACAATCCATATGAAAAAGCTTGGGCCATCTGTTCTTATCTGATGACAAGCTATCTAGGTAACAAACAGCATTAGGAAACCAATTCTAACAGGAGAGACTGTTTGTTAACCTCTGACTTATTTTCTTTGCTCTCTCCCCAAAGAACATGTTGGCATGTAGTAATTTCTGGGTAACTGGAAATCACTACTATAAATTGCTTTAGACAATGGACAATGCTTTCCAACATAATTAGTAACATCTTGAGGGTAGGGAGCTACATACTACAGAATTATTTCCAATAACTACCAAAAGAGTAAGTATTTTAAACCACATTTAACAAATAGCAAAGTATAATGCAATCAGCTGTCCAAATTGCATGTTGTATTTTTCCTTTCCAACTCTGTAATCCCAATTGGTGCCAAAAAAACTTTTGTTTTGCTATTTTGATTAGGTAAATTAATTATTCTAACTAGCTGTGGGTGTTCAAAAAAATGTGTCTTATGCTTTAAAAGCTTCCTTATAAAAGCATCAAAATGTAACACCTCAGGATGCCCTAATGACCTGGTAGTTGGGTATCCTGAAGGTAGACAAAAAAAAAAAAAAATTAATAAACAAAACAAAGGACCAATGTAATAAAAATAACAGATAGCAACATCTAGCATCTGTGCATCACTTTGCAACTATCAAGTCCCTTTTGTGACCACTCCTACTCACGCGTGGTGCCTGAGGAGCTCAGCCAGAACCTCCGCAGGTCTGTAGATGGCTGACATCTCAAGACTCTCAAACAGGTCCACATCTCTCACAGCCAGCATCAGAGGAGTCAGGCCATGCTGGTTTGGGAAATTTACGTCCAGGAACTCTTCAGATGCCTTTAAAAACGTGAAGCGTTATTTACGTTATGCTTTCCTGAATGTCTATTTATTCTAATCTTTGCATTTTCATTGCTTGCCCAAATTCTTATTTTGACTTCAATACCTTCTTTCTCAATATGTATATTGGGAGGGAGCCGATGAATTGAAAAAACACAAGCCTGAGAGGCAGACAGACATGGGGGTGAATTTTAGCTTTTTAAGTTGGTTATTTAACCTCCTTGATAGAGATATATCAAGGACACTCTGTTAAAAGGTGATTAAATCACCCTGATAAAATAAGGGATGCCACAGTTACACAATGAATAATTTTCATCCAGGACATAATTATACCAAAAAATAAAAATAAAAATGGGGGGTGATATTTTTCTAAAATTTAAATTTAACTGACTGTCCTCTATTTTTATTTGCAAAACCTGGCAACCCTCCTCACTGGTCTTCACAGTCCTCAGCTATTACACAGGAATAACAGTGTGTTCCCTGCAGGGTTGTTTTGGTGATTGGAGAGCAGAGTGTCAGACACATGCTCAATAAATGTTTGTGGAATGATGACTGAGTTACAATAGTAAGGCCACCCATTTAACTGTACTTATATAATCAAATGGGATATATAGAAGTTAATTATTGTTTTAAATTAATTAAAATTTTAATTTGAATAACTCAAAACTGAAAAGCTACTGGAAGGCCAAATTATCAAAATTGTCTATTTCATAGACCAAAGTAACTCCTTAATTTTCACCTCCATTTCACTTTATGCCGTATGAACATAGTGTCTCTACCTCAGTTTCTCTAGGGACAAACTAGAGATAATGATATTACCTCAGAGTGGTGTTCTGGGAATTAATTAGTTAACCTTTTTTTCCTTCGGTCTCTGAAAAGAAAGCACCTCTTATATCGATGTTTATTATTAGCTAGGACCAACATGAACATTTCGAACCTTACAACAGCACGTTAATTTTGTAGTCTTACAACACACATTAATTCAGCATCTGTGGATTAGGCTCTGAGGTCCAGTTATAGACATTAGTTTCTTAATCTTTAGGGGTGAAAAACATGGTCAAGTAAACAGACATTGGATTACAACAATGTGTATGTTGCAAATACCAATACAATAAAATGTACTGTCTTTCAAACAAAATTCTAAGCCAGAATTCATGACATATGGCAATTTTAGATGATCATTTAATACAACAAAAAATGTAGAGTCCTTTAGATTTTGTTGTATGTTTTCTTGAACTCTGGGTGACGATAATATTGTTCACTTTTCCTTTATCTATTTGTGTCTCTACCATAAGGGAATGGAAGAAACTGGTTTCCTAGCAGCCATTGATTTTCTTTCAGGGAGAAGGTCATGTGATCTGACAGCATCTCTGAGGGTAAATGCCAAGAGTAAGCAGTGGCCACCAATAATTAGTGTCCTTGGTTATGCATATGGTTTTGCAAGCTTGATTGGGAAAGAATATCAATGGTTAGAAAAACTAAACAAGAAGATCAATACCCTAAGATGAAAACACTTAAAAAATGTATCCGCTTAACTCCTTTAGTCACAGCTAAATATTATGCAAAGCACCGGCTCTCTGGTTCCCTTTTCAAGGTAAAGCTAATAACTGCAACTAGTCCAGAGAGATCTAAACAGCAGCTGCACAAATGGCACCGATGTCTAGGGAACGCCTCTGAGCAAGCTGACAGTGGCTCTCTGGGGGCAGCCTGGGAGGGCATCATTTCCCCGGGGCGCTGCCGACTTCTAGCTTCCAGCTATAGGAAGGAACAAAAGCTGCTGCTTTGTTCTTTTATTATCTTGTTTTTCCACCCTAGTGTCCTCTTTGATTCTGTTTCTTTCTCATATTTCCTGTCTGAAATGTCCTGGGGCGTTTTCTTTTGAAAAGAAGTTATTTTTCTTTAAAAGAAGTCATATGTAGTCTGTGCCCTTCTTACCACCCACCCCCCACCCAAAGGTAGAAGTTAACCTAGATTTGACTGACCAACAATTGCCGAAGTTGTTCAAGATCAGCTTGCCATGAACTTCTCAGAAGTTGCATTTGGGGAGCCTGGATTCCATTGGTGGCCAAGAGCTGTTTTTGGATGTCACAATTAGCCACATGGACTGCGGTTCGATTGTCATAATTGCAAAGGGTGATATCTGCTCCCCTTTCCAGAAGAAACTCAACAACCTGCAATACCACAACAATCTTATTTCACATTTTTAAATACCAATGGTGTTTTCAGGGCTGAGTGGGAAACTTACATGGTTTCGATTCATAATATAGGAAAGGAGATTAAAAGGGGCGTAAGAATAAAGAATTGACTTGGAAGCAGGTGATTGCTATTTGCATTTTTTTTTTTTTTTAATCTCCATGATGTGGATGGTTTGAGGATACTATAGTTTTTTTCAAACTAGTGGTCTATGAGTATTTCATGTTAAATTCACATAACACATTCAACTCCTATTAGTATCATCTGTAGTTTAGAATATCAAACCCAAAGACTCAGGATTATAGATTATTGAATGTTACAAGTATTTCTAGGGAAAGAATGAACTCTGTTTAAAATGATGGAGGCTTAATTTATTCAACAAAAATGGTCTGAGTGACTAGTGCATGTGTAAAGAGCTGTTCTTGGTGCTAAGACCCCAACAATGAACAAAACAGATGATCAGCCTTTAAGGCATTTACAATCTAGTGAGGAACAGAGACAGATAAAAAGGCAATTGCGACACAGTGTGATATATGCAATGATAGGATAAATACAGAAAGCTGAAGGGGCACACAGAAGAAACTATTCAGCTGTCTTAGAAGGGCCGGGAAGACTTTCTGGAGAAAGTGATGTCTAAGTTGAGAACTGTGGAATCAGACTCAGTTAACTAGGCAAAGACTGCTGGGAAAGATTGTTTCAAGCAAAGGATATAGTATGAACA